AAAAACTAATTATAAATTTTCAATTATTTTATTTTTTTACAGAATATTTTTTGGCGAAAAATCTAAGGTGGCCCTGGCAGGCTATTATGTATGTCAATGTTTTGTAGTTATCAGCGATAATACACCATCATTTCAATTATAATAATAGGCTGCAGTATTATCACTTCACAGCAAAGTAAAAACAATAGCTTCTTAAATAAGCGATATGCATTAAGATAGAAACAGTATTATATCCCTTTTGAAAATGCATGATACTGATAACTTTCAAAAACATTAACAAATATTCCGATTCACACATGTGGCCATATTTGATAAAAGATTTGAAACTAATGTGGAACTAGAATTACAAATAGTTTTTTTTAATTAATACTGATGAATGATAGGATGCCCAATCTCTATTTACTATTAGGGGTATTGTATATTTTTCAACATGAATTTTCGAAGCGCCAATTTTGACGAAAAAGATGCTGCAACGTCTGAGGTATATACAATCTTAAATATGCAATTTCAATTTCATATGACTTTTCGTTTTTGAGCTTGACTGGTCACATACATATACACACAAACCGTTTTGCGGGACTTGGTAATTTGACTTGGTAAATATATTTCCGTTGAAAACTCAGATAGGTCAGTGAAAGTAAAAACAACTACAAAGCCAGGTTAATAATATGAAATATAAATTTTGAATAATAGCCCATTGCAAATAAGTTGAAATGGTGAACAATTCCCTCGCTAACAGTGTGAAGATTCGATTTTTAGTTTCTGAGATATAGTTAATCCATATCATCAATAAGACTCGTTATCATTTGGTTTTCTACACTAATTTTTTTCCATTTTCGCCTCTCTAACATGGTGTTGCGTTAACATACAATTTTGAATAATAGCTCATGATAAAGAGGATGAAATCATGATGAACTCCCTCGCTAACAACATATAGGTACGATATTTAGTTATTGTGATATTTTAATTCATGTGCAAAAACTCTTCAATTAGCCGACTTTAGCCGAGCGTTACACATCAGAAAGACGCGCCTAAAGAAATTTTCACTGAAATGGAGCACTGCAAGTTGTTTGAAGCGGTTTAGATTTGATTCCTTTGTGTGTAAGTTAATATTTATTTCATGGTGATGACAAGTCCATTCTGGTTCAAAGTGGATGGCGACTTCTGTGCAGGGATGGCCAACGATATTCGATACTTTACCATCGACAGTATTTACTTCACGAATTGTTATAAATAATTATATAGGATGAAAATAAATAAGTAGTTCGCTGAATCCGATTTATGGGTGAAAAGTAGGCATAATTGGTTAAATGGAAAATTATGTGAAAAACTGAGGATGAAGAAAATGGAAAAATTTAGAAAATTAATTTTACTAAGAAGGGTGAAAGATTTGACATTTCCATTAATTAATTCAAAGACGAAAATTACATTTATTTTTATGCGCCGATATGCTAGATAATTAATATTTATTTTGATATTCATATTTAAAAAATGTTTATAATATCGACCATCGATATTTCAAGTCCTATATTTTGAAGGTATCAATAGTTATAGACCGATATATCTATCGATGTTGGTCCTTTGATATCCCATTTCTATTTTTGGGTTAAATCTTTCCTAACAACATTATCATTGCCAAAACATACAAAATCGAATATTACAAAAATAAATAAATAATTAGCCAGTCAACATTTCTCTAATTGAGACATTATTAGGTTCCATTAAAATAATAAATGCAGATAATACATCTCCGATAATAATACATCTCACTTCAACAGTTAAAAACTACAAACCAAACTGAGATAGTACTTACATCACTCAAAGAAAATTTGCTATATGATCTAATTAGATTAAATACACATCTAATTAAACAAATCTTAATTGGACCATTATTTCCAATGATACTATTGTAATTTATAAACAAGTTTTGGTTTATCATTTTTAAAATTGAAACTTTGCATTCGACCAAACCAATTGCAATTTTAAAAACAAATTAAAAAAATGTTGAAATTCAGTTGAAATTTCCAACCAATGGAGGATCTTAGTTAAATATAATTATAACTCGCTTACAATTAGTTATTATTCCGAGAATAAAGTCATACGGCACTTAGTTTAAAAGATTTTCTTACCCTCCGATAATACTTACAACGAAACATGTACATATATTACAGGATGATAATGTAACTTCGTAATAAATTTATAATTTTTTGAGCAGTTTGTAGTCAAAAATAAAAAAAAAAATCTTATTTTTAACCTACAATCAGAGCAACAGAGACCAGTCTTTCTCACTCAGTCTTGGTCATGCGCAAGAGTCTCGTAAGTCTTGCTGTAACCTATTAGCTTATTGCTATTTATTAAACATGTTACTTTAGATCTGATAAAAACGCTACAGAATAGGTTGATTTACTTGTTTTATTGACATTAACATAGTAAAGTCCAACCAAATTAATATAATTAACTTGACAATACTTCAAAGGTATTGTCAAGAAAGATAGGGATAGATCCCCACCTCGGAATGCAAGCGTTTTAGAGAAAAGACAATCTACACAATGTGATCAATTATTTAAATATATTTATTAAAAATAACACAATTGAAATAGACTAATTTCCTGGTAACCTATAAGAAAAATTGGAGTACGATTTCTTTGAACTAAAGCAATGTAAACGAGCAACTGAATAATTATTAAAATCAGTGAATAAAACTCAATACACTGTAACGTTGCTAAAACTGGTCAGATAGTTTCTTCAGAAATTAACCTGAAAAATTAGTTTTTAAAAAATATTACCACTACATACTATAGAGATATAGTCCGAGGTACAGGCCCCTTTTTTTATCAAATGATTAACATCCGGCTGAAACTTCGGTAAAAGCTTCATCTCATTGTAACCTACAAATATTTTATTTACGAAAATGCTCGGAATTGGGGCGTTTTCAAAATTGAGATCGGCAAACTTTGTGTATTTAATTAGGTACTAAAAACACGTAAATGCCCATTTGCTTTCCACTTTAATCGTAAGATAACTTGAGCACAAAGTCGAGAAAAAAAGTGGCCTTCAAAAATATTGAGCCGTTTAGCGTGACCTACACCCCCGAATTGTCAAAATAAAGAGGTTATATAGGCCAAACGACTCAGTGTTTTTTGAAGGCCACATTTCTTCTCGACTTTATAATAAATTTATCTTACGATTAAGGTGGAAAGCAAATGGATATTTACGAGTTTTTAGTACCTAATTAAATACACAAAGTTTGCCGACCTCCAGATTGAATCCTCTCTCAAATTCCAAGAATTTTCGTAAATAAAATATTTGTAGGTTACGATGAGATTAAGCTATTTAAGTAGTTTCAGCCGGATGTTAATCATTTGATAAAAAGGGATCTGTACCACGGACTAATATTACTGACATTTTTCAGAACGGGAAACCCTTACGAATTGCCGAATGAAAAATTGGAAAAGTTAAATGCTAAAGTACATTGGTCCTACCAATTCTTTATATATAGTAACTATAATTGTCTAATATTAGTAACTATTTTGCCTTAATTTGTATTCATAAAAACGACTTATTTTATTACTTTCCTACCTATACTAGGTAAGGAAAGTATTGCAACCGGGTCAAATTTCGTTCAAATTTCAAAAACGTTTCAGAGCTCCCTGAGTCCGAAAAACACATTTCTAGCCATTGGTCTGTGTTTCTGTCTGTCTGTGCCAAGATTTTCTCAGGAACTACTGAACCGATTTTGTTGCTTCTTTTTTTATTTTGTAGGGTTTCGACTACTGATGGCTGTGACAGAAATTCGGTGCTCCATGCGCAATAGCTTGCGCGCATTAAATGAAAAAACACGTTTTTCTACAGACTGTAGCGCAAAAACGGCTCTAACGATTTTGATGAAACTTTCTTATAATGTTCTAATCATTGTTCTTTCAATTTTCGTATATAGACTAAATTCCCCAAAAAATTCAGGAAAAAAAAGTTATAAAGAAAAGAAAAATGTTATAGGGCCTAACTCTCTAAGTATATATTATACGGTAAAATTTAAATAAAACGTTTGATAGGTAAATAAATTATCAACAAAATAAATAATAAAAACATCGGAATCGAACAAGTTTTAGCATCGATACAGCTTATTCTATTTTTTACAAATGTTTTAACTTATTACCTTTCTACAAATACTAGGTAAGGGAAGTATTGCAATCGGGTCAAATTTCCGACACACCGTTTAGCCTGTCGTTTGAAAGGTAATGAAATTCCCTACCAAACTATATACAAATCGTTCATTTTGGAAAACTATTAACGAAGTTACAGCTATTCAATTTCCAATGTAAGATTACGGTTTCATATCCTGGTGTCAGAAAGGGTGAATGAGATAATAAAGATGAATAAGTGATAGTAAGAAAATCTGTTGCCCGCATCACACAATCTTCACTATTTCGTATACTTTCAACAGAAATTATTGTTTGACAACACTAAGCTATGCCAAAAAGTTTTTGATCAGCAATATTAGGAAGTATTGACATTTTTACACTGATCTACCTTAAGCCGGTTTACATTGCTTTAGTTTATCAAATAAATCGTACTCAAATCTTATGTTTGATCAATTTTCAGGAAAATGTATCTAGTTCAATTCTTTTTTGTTTCTTCATGAACATATGTAAAGATATAAAAACTTTTCTGAAATAGGTAGGAAAGTCGTGTGAGTGGACACACCAGATTGTTTTTTTGGATCAGTTTTGGTCTTGGTCGTGCTATAATTTGGCTGTCTTGGTCTAATTTTGGATAATACTAGCCAACTACTGTCAAACAAATATTTTACTCAAAGCAGGGTGGTGAATGATGGTTGTGTTATGCGCGGACCACACCAAATTTTTATCACATTTCGTAGAGTCTTTTATAAAAAATTATTGAATCCTAAAATAAATTCCGGAAGCAACCACCCATCCGTGAAAGCAACGAAAGGTTGTGCCACCCTCCTCGGACCCATCCCTAATCCTGATGATTTGCAGGTGGAGAGCCAATGAGGAGGATGTCATTACCCCCGAAGACAGAGGAGTGAAATCCTCGAGTGGCATTGGCCGGTTTAACATTGGAGGCAGGTCGCGTGGCATTGGAGCAACTGCCACAAAAGCGCCCCATTGACACCAATTGGTGTCCACTGCTCGGCGGTGGCTTGGAGTGACACCATGTCTCGCATCTTCATGCTTCTCCTCATCTCTGCAGGTAACTCTTAGCATAATATATATAGAACATATATACATATACATATATATATACATATATATATATATATATATATATATATATATATATATATATATATATATAATCTTAAATATTTGTTCAAAAATAAAAAAAAATACGAAAGCGAAAACATCTTATATTTGTTCTATGTTCACATCGTTGTGATTTTCTTTATCCATCTATAAAATATTTAAATATTTAGTATCATAATAACAGAAAATATGTTAAAATGTATAAGATGAGACGTCAATTAGTATAACACAATTATGCAGTATTAGCACTAATGTTGCCCAAAATCGGTCTTGGTCTAGCACTTCGCCGCCTAACTGTTGCAAGACCAAGACCAGGACTTTAAAAAAAAATCGATTTTTTAAATAAAAATTATTGCAAAATAATTACTAATACTTGACAATCTTAGTTAATATTTGTTAATAATTGATATATCCAATATACTTTTGCATTTAACTCCTCTAATTTTTCATTCGGGCTTAGGTAGGTTTCTCCTACCTAAAAAAATACAGCAATATATCTATAGTAATAAGCTAATAAATAACTGTAAGACTGTTGCGAGACTCTCGCACAAGACCAAGATCATGACCAAGACTGAGTTTGCAAGACCAAGACTTATCTCGGTCTCGCATTAGGGCAACACTAACTAGCACAACATTGTTTTTAAAGAAACTTCTGTAACGGGAGTCTGTAATTTATCGAAACATCATCGATTGCTAATAGAAAATCGAATAAAAACACTTCTTAAACATTTCTTATTTTTACAACTAATTTAAAAAAAAAAATATGTATATTGATTTCTGCATATTAGTTTCTGAATTTCAATGGTATGTAGATTTTGAGATATTTTAGGTGAAATATCTCAAAACTAAATATCAGACCTGCATATTTCAAGCGAGGGAAATGTTCAGTATTTCACCCTCTTTGTAATGAGATATCATTCATAATTTGATGTGACGCGAGTTATACAGTCGGAAAGAGAAAAAATCTGGTGAGTCCACTCACACGACTTTCCTACCAATTTCAGAAAATTTTTATATCTTTACATATGTCCATCAAGAAACAAAAAAAAATTGAATAGATTTATTACCCTGAAAATTGATCAAAGAAGATATTTGAGTACGATTTATTTGATAAACTAAAGCAATGTAAACCGGCTTAAGGTAGATTAGTGGAAAAATTTCAATACCCTCTAATATTGCTGATCAAAAACTTTTTGCCATAGCCTAATTTTGTCAAATAATAATTTCTGTTAAAAGTAGAGGAAATAGTGAAACTTGTGTGATGAAGGCAACAGATTTTCTTACATTCACTCAGTTATCCTTTTTCTCTCATTTAATCCTTTCTGACAACAGAATAACTTAGGAGGCTCTGAAACGTATAGATCCGTCTAAAACCGCAAATCGGAAATTTGACCCGATCGCAATACTTTCCTTACTTAGTATAGGTAGGAAAGTAATAAATTAAAACATGTGTAGAAAATATAATAAGCTGTGTCATCGCTGATACAGGATCGATTCCGATGATGTTTATTTTGTTTTGTTGGTAATTTAATTACCTTTCAAAAGTTTATTTATAAATTTTACCATAGAATATATACTTAGCGAGTTAGGCCCCAAAACATTTTTCTTTTCTTTATAACTTTTTTTCTTGATGTTTTTTTCGGGAATTTAGTCCATGTACGAAAATTGAATAGACAATTATTAGAACATCATAGGAAAGTTTCATCAAAATCGTAAGAGCCGTTTTCGTGCTTCAGTCTATAGAAAAACATGTTTTTAATTTATTGCGCAGCAGCTATTACGCATGGAGCACCCAATTTGTGTCACAGGCATCAGTAGTCAAACCCCTACAAAATAAAAAATAAAGAAACAAAATAGATTCACTAGTTCTCGAGAAAATTTTGGCACAGGCAGACAGACCAATGGTTAAAAATGTGTTTTTCGGACTCAGGGGGGTTCTGAAACGTATAGATCCGTCGAAAACCGCATATCGGAAATTTGATCCGATCGCAATATTTTCCTTACCTGTATAGCTGAGAAATTAAAAAAAAAAAATAATAACGCCTGTTTTCAATATTTGGATTAAAATATCTCTAAAATACCATGGAGAATTCAGGAATATTCTTTTTAATTAGCAAAAGAATTAATTTTAGTAAACATAAAAAAAATAAGTGTTTCTATTTGATTTTCTTAGCCAATTACTGACTACTGTTACAGAAGTTTTATTGAAAAATGTTTATATTTTAAATGATTAATTTCACCTTGTTGATGTTTTTACATCTATCGTATTGCCTAAAGAACACTCCGTAATTTCTTTTTATGTTCTTCAGTTTCTGAAAAGCCACTTTGACGGATTTTTACTACATTTCAAAATATTTTAAATTGCTTTTAGGCTGATGAGTTGCTCGTATATCATTTAAAAACTAACTAATATGTTCATGGTGGTGAAAAATAACCACTAGCTTATCGGATTTCTTTAGTATTGAAGTTCATTATTGGGTCATAAAAGGAACTTTTTATGGAAATGCTATCGATTATTAGATCGAACTTTTTGCATTTCTTATATATAAGGGGCCATTATTATGTCATCGGAGGCGCTTTTTATGAAAATTCTGACGATTTTAAGATTACACGCTCATGCACGATCTTCACATTGACAATACATTTCCGTTAACCCAATGGTGAACGAGAGTATTAAAAAACTCCAGTATGTTTAATAAATGTGACCTCATATCTCAAAATCGGTAATATTTTCAAAAATTAGGCATGACTTTATAATCAAAAAGAGAAAATTATATACGGTAATGGAACTATTAATTATTCAATACTCATCTCATGATTTTTTTACACGTCGAAATCGCTCCTGAGAGGCGAAAGAAGGGATCTATATTCAGAAATAACATATATGTAATAGATATGTATATTGTTTTCTATTAGATAGTATCTTTATCACATCACCCACAGTGGGCTGTGTATACAATCTAGCATGACTAAAGTCAATGTAATAGAATTGATTCATTTTTTTAGCAAACAAGTATTTAGTTAATTGTTTTTGCACTCAAAAGATGAATTGACAACATACATCATTTCCAGTCCCTTGTGGCAGCCTCCCCCCCCCCCAAAGTCGATGGCGCAAGAATCTAACTCCCCTCATTCCAAGATATTTTATTTCTCACCATTTCTTAAAAACAGAGAAAAATTAGAAAAATCGTAATCATATACAATTACAATTGTTGTTCTGTTTCATGTCATCTTGCCGCCCCTTAGTCCGAAAATTCATAACCCCATCGAAATTTGGTCCCATCAAAATATGTTCCCCTCAAAAATTTTGATGGCGCAACGTCCTCCATGAAACACCCTTCTGGGCACTCCAGCCTAGTAAACAAAACAAAAAAAAATGAGGAAAATTTCCCCTTAAAAAAAAAAAATGCCGTTTGCTATAATAATATATTATTTAAGTAACACTAATCAGTTCATTTTTCTACCAATAATTAATAAATTAATCATTATTTAAGAGATAACAATTTTAAGAGATTTTTATTTATTTGTTATTCGAATAATATTTATCCTAAAGTCTAAAAAAATTCTTGCTTTAAGACTTTAAGAGATTTTTATTTATTTGTTATTCGAATAATATTTATCCTAAAGTCTAAAAAAATTCTAAACTTTATGTTGTATCTCTTTACCTTCAAAACCAAATTAACACATCTTTGGAGCCAAAGTGATTGGTCACTATAATGGAGTGATGGGTGAATAGAACAGACATATCTATTAATTATGAAGTATATTGATAAATTTTCAAATCAGTAATGCACTTAACTCGATTTTTTCAAAAATACATCTATACTCCTTGCCTTCATTCAGAGTGACTTCATTATATACATACACACTAGCGGATCCAGGTTTAATTTTTTGGGGGGAGGGGGAGGAGAGCAACTTCAGCCCGAAAGCTTTTTATATATATATATATATATTTTTAAGGATAATTAATTTGAAAAAAAAGAATAACTACCAATATGACATAGTATTTAAGTAATTCTTGAAGTCCTATTAAATGAAATTACACGAACAATAATACTTTAAGAGATAGTTTTTAATTTTTTTTTCTATAAAACATGGTTATATTTTACCATTTTTTTGGAGGGGGGAGGGGGGCTTCAGCCCGAAACCCCCTCCTCTCCTCAGATCCGCCTGTGCGTAGGTATATCAATTTTTTTTATACCCTCAAATATTTGACAAACCAACTTTTCAAAAAACCTACCCCACTTACTCAGAAACCTATGTGATGACTTACGTTAGACACCTCCTGAAAAATTGTCCGTCACTAGACCAAGACACACCATAACTAGAAAAAAAAATATGTATATATATGCATATATATATATATATATATATATATATATATATATATATATATATATATATATATATATATATATATACAAATATATCAGTACTCCCAACTCCTCATCCCTCTCCTAAAATGCACCTTGTGCGGTACAAGAGGTCTTATTTAATCCTCATCCAACCCCCATTTCTCATTACCACATCCTATAAGGGGGGAGGATGAAAATAAAAAATCGTTACATACTTACAAGTGGTCAAACTAAACTCTTTATCCCGAAGGCAGGTGGTATGTGAAATTTCTTCATTGAACTATAAACGAGATAGCGAAAAAAGGTATACAATCAATCACATTGAAAATGTTATCATTTTTAATTTTATATAGAACGTCTTTGTCGGTGCGATAGATAGTTTTCCTGATATGCGAAAGTTGTCTGAAAGGTTTCCGACAGCAACGTGAAGATGGCAGCACTCGTAAATAAAAGCAAGTGAATTTCGTTTTTTTCATATTTTAGGCAATAAAACTTCCAATATTTTTATTTATGTTTGTTGTCTCTTACGTTTCGGGACAATTTTCCCATCATCAGAGTAATATTTCTATTTTTACTGAAATTATGTTTCGTTGTTCGTCTATTGACAGCTACCCACCAAAGTTTTAGCCGTTTTGGACGCGCAGTTTTTATCTAACAGTCGTTTGAGTGACTTGATGTGAGTGTTTTTGTGAAAATAGACATAATCGAGTAGCGAACTGTCATTAAATATTTCTTATTGAAAGGCAATACGGCTACGCAAATCAAAGATAAGTTAGATTCTGTGTATGGGGACTTTGGACCATCATTTACCACAGTGAAATTTTGGGCAGGTGAATTTAAACGTGGCCATAAGAGCTTGGGAGACGATGAATGTTCGGAAGGTCCAAAAACTGCAATTACCAACGAAAAAATTGCAATTGCAATTGTCAAGCTACAAGCTAAAAGCTATAAGCTACAACGCCGTCGAATCCCAGTTAGTGAGATATAGAACATTGATTTCATTAATTGGAAAATTTAACACGAGACGTAAAAAGAACACCGGTTTCATATTTTTGAAGCAACGAATCTTCGAAGTCGCAGGAAGCTCAGAAACATCAGCAGGTTACCTGGAACTTACATATAAGCATTCCTGAATCAAATCATTTTCATATGAAGTTGAGTACTTTAAAAACGAAACTTTCATAGACTATTCAAAAAAAGCCCATGCACTTCGTTCGAGCCACCCCTACAGTGGCAGAAAAAAAAGTGAATAACTCGTGTGACCAAATACTCGCTCTCCAGTCAAATGTTTTGCAAATTTTCGATTGAAATATCATTTCTCTATATTATGGAAACTGACTTTGCTGTCATGATTTGATCATAATTAACAAAGTTATGGGTGTAACTATAATAAAGTTCATTGACTTTACCTAACTGATGCTTGTGTTTCAAAATAACTAAAAAGCTGTAAGTTAAAAGTAATGGCTCTAAAAGATTATTTGGCAGAAATACGATCGAAAATGTTACCTAGCATATTACACATTTATTTTACGCTTGAAAAAAAAAAATTGAACCAAAATATAATGCTCATAAAACAAAAATTAACCAGTTTTTTTCTGTCTCCTGAAAATTTTTAGCTTTTGTTCTAACAGGCTTTTGCAATATGGTTGTCGATATTTACCGAATTATGAAAATTTCAAAACTTTCGACATATGACTTCCTGTACCACTGATCGCGTAGGAGTTCTCTTTGTCATCGTGTAACAATGAATCCATCGCCGAAACTAGCAAGCCAAGGGACAATGCCTCCTGAATGAGATTTGCCGACAATAAGATCTTATTAAGATGCTATTCAGGAGGAATTGAATTGTCAAGACCTTTAACAAAAAGCTAAAACATTAATACCAAATCTTATTAATCGAATTTTATACAAGATTACCTTTTCGTGGTAAATTTTAGTATTAGAATCTAATTTTAATTCATTATTAGTTTCATAATTTACTTAATATCATCGCATAACATTTTATTTGTTCATATTTATTCTTCAATTATTTTAATTATAAATTCATTATATAGCAAGCTAATATTCACTTTATTTTACTTTTGATACATTTAAAAACAATATTAATATATAATTACATAATAATTGATTGTTTAATCAATCATTTTGAGATACAAATGTCAACTGTAACTTAATGTTTTTCTGTCGACTTGGTTTTAATCACTGTATTCCAGAATATGTAACCTCATAATTATAACGACCATGATAAAAATTATTTTTAAAATTCTAATATCCCCACATATATTATTAAAATAAGGCTCGAAATCGGTTTTGTACCAAATATAAGCTCCTGTCATGCTCAAATACCATGAATGGGGTACCGTTGGATTCAGAATTTCACGAGGGGTTAGCGAATCGCATTCTCCACTTTTGTTTTTCTTTCTAAAATAAATAAAGTCGATACAAACATTTTGCTAGGCTTCAATACTGTAACGGTGGTAGGTCTGTAGATCGATACGGGACAAATTGGACCTTGAAGATTTTGATGCGTACAGCAAGACCCGGACAGTTCCTCCGGCACTATCGGATCCTGCGTTTTTTAAGCCCAACGTACTATTTTCGAGATAACGCAAGGCATGGGGTTCGCATCCACACAACCCTACATTAATTGTAGTACTGTCATTGAATACATGTCTCGTTTCGTCGACTTGAGGTCTCTATGATCGAGAGAGGAGGATTTTATAATATTTATCGATGGTGTTTTTGATCAGCAAGCTACATCATCGTTAATTTTTCACCAAATCTCAACATTGAGCCACCAATTTCGAAGGCTTCCTTCTCCTTCAGGCGGGCAAAATAGTCCAATCACCCCGAAAATTCAGGCAAACAAGTTACGAAATAAAACAAACTTTATTTGCGAATAACTAAAAAATTACACATTTTGGCTATGCCCATGATTACATAAAATATTACTACAAATATTCCCTACAAAATGAAAAAAATAATCATTGAAATCGGACAATATTTAGCAAACATACAGCTTACTGAAATTTGTATACATGCTGGTTCCAAACAGAAATGAAGTTTTAAATTAATTTTTGTTGTCTTTGTCGATTATATTTATCGATAAAAAAACATTTGATTTCTTTATCTTTTGATATGTTGCATTATTTTTTTTCTTATTAATTTGGCTTTTTATAACAATATGCTTTGTGAATTTTTCGTCCAGGCCTATTAGTTTTAATAATTTCGACATAATGTAAATTATTGTTTTTGTATTTTGTATCTGTTTTCAAAAATGAACAGTTTTGTTTTCTCAATACCGAAGGTAGGGAAGCTTTCCGTGGTACAGACCCCTTTTTATCAAATTATTAATATCCCCTCATGCCTATCAAGCCTTTTTATTTATTTTTTATTATTTTTTTTTCTCTCATTACTACGCCAGCACATCTGCTGATTGTCAGGTGTGGATAGATATATGTAAGTCCAAAAAAAAAAAAAAATTAATATCCGCCTGAAACTTCGTAAATAGCTTTATCTCATCGCAACCTACAACTATTTTATTTACAAAAAGTCTTGGAATTGGAGCGTTTTCAATCTGGAGGGCAGCAAACTTTGTCTATTATTATTAGGTACTAAAAACTCGTAAATACCAATTGGCTTTCAATTTGGATCGTAAGATAATTTGATCACATATTCGAGAAAAAAGGTGGCCTAAACAAATATTGGGCCGTTTGGCGTGACTTACACCCCCAACATTTCAAAATAACAAGGTTATATACGCCAAACGACCAAATATTTTTGTAGATCAATTTTTTTCTGGATTTTTTTAACAAATTATCTTATGATTCGAGTTAAAAGAAAAAAGAGTATTTACGAGTTTTTATTAGCTAATTAAATAGACAAAGTTTGCCTATCACGAGATTGAAAATGCCTCAATTCCAAGAGTTTTTGTAAATAACATATTTGTAGGTTACGATGAGATGAAGCTATTCACGAAGTTTCAGTCAGATGTTAAAAATCTTTTTTGTGCCCAGAATAAATAATTTCCACTTACGTTTTACGTTTCGACATCAAGGTTCAGATCTAATTTTTTATTACTGTAAAAATCAAATTTAATATTTTCAGTTTTATTTGTTTAACGCATTTTTAATTTTTACAGTTATCTTTAGAATATATTCTTGATTTTTGGAATTTTTTTTGTCGTTTTATTTTCCACTACTTCATCTTTTTTTGTTATTAATATTTTTAATAAAGCTATAGTTTAAAGACCTTTTGGTGCCATCTTAAACTTATTTTCATTAAAACATGGATGTTTTATTTATTTCATTACACCAAAATACACCGCAGAGCATTTAAAGTCATAGCAGCAGCATCAAGATGCATCAGCACAACTGTATTACATGATAAATACGACAAGTAAATATGAAACAAGTACCATGACATGTACAACATGAAGAGAAACTACCCATTGGTAGAACTCCAATTATATTTTTATATTAGAAGGTCCCGAGGCCATCAGAGGGTTATCAGAAATAGAAGAGGAAGCAAGGTTGGAAACAAGAGGGTTCGGATGGTTCAGAAGTTTATTATGGAAGGATAGGTACCTGTATTGAGCTAAATCGGAAACATATGGCACATTACGGTCGTTATGGATGATTTTATTTGTGACAAAAGTAGGGAGCATTGAGAATTTTACTAAGGATACGCGTAACTTTACTTAAATACGTAACGCGTATTTTACTTTAAAGCGTTTGCCTAGTAAGTGCTGCAGTAGTCGAAAACGTCGGGCGGTTTCTAATCTTTTCAGTCTGGTATGAGGATTCCAAGTGAGTCGTTTGTCCAGGTGGAGTCCTAGGTATCGGATTTATTCTACAGGGATAAATGGGGAATTGTTGCAGGATACTGTAGGACAGGAAGTCATAGTTTTACGAAGAAGAGTAAAGGAAATTTGATGGAATTTATTTTAATCCTCCAGTTTTGACACCATTTTTCTTGACTTGTGATGTGTGATTGAAGAGTTTTAGATGCAACAAATGGATAGCTATTAACTGAAAGGATACACGTGTCTTCGGCATAGGTGGTGATGTCAGTGTTGGATTGGATTGTGATGTCAGCTGTATAAACTGTATAAAGGATAGTACCTAGGAGACTATCTTGCAAGATATAATAAAAATGTATAAAGTAATTCCATCAATTAACATTATAAAATAAAAAAGTATATCTATCAATATAGATGAGTATCAATTAATTATTCTAGCATTAAATCAATTTACCAATTTGATCCTCCAAACGCACTCCTCTTCGAAAGAACTTTGTAGAAATAATACATACTGATATTTAAGTTAATCATTTTATTTTTTAGTTTATTATAAGCGCATAACATTTAAATATAAGCCTATATTTTACTCCCCGGATCATGGATATTTTCTAACGAATTCTTTCTTTATTTAGGCCCAGCATTCTGCAATGACCTCGACGAGAGGCTGGCAAGCTTCAGAGAAGCAATGAGTACAAACCATCTTGATGGATACATCGTTCCTAACTCCGACTATCATGCAGTAAGTAGAAACGTGTTTTCTAAAATTCTAAAATTATTCTGTATCTGTATCGAATCGGCAAGTGTAGATGCATTGACAGCATATCCGGTTTTGTTAATCATTTCAAAAGTCTTGATTAAAAAAAAAAAAAAATAAAAAAAAATAAAAAAAAAAAAATAAAAAATAAAAAAGTTGAAGTAAATACAACCAGAAGAATTTTTGAAGATAAAACTTTTTATGTGGGGAGTGAATTGATTGACCCGTTAGATCTCCGATGTGTAACGTTCGGGTAAAGTCGGCTGTAGTCGACTTATTGAAGTATTTTGCATATGGATTACAATATCTCAAAAACTAAAAATTGGACCTTCATATTGTTAACTAGAGAAATGTTCATCATTTCATCCTCTTTGTAATGAGATAGTATTCAAAATTGTATCATAACAAAACGCCGTGTTAGAGCTGCGAAAAGAGAAAAAACTTTTGGATTTTAAATAATCCATTCAATATTGATTTTCTTCTATCATATTAATTTTTTTTAATGTTCTTGTAAATTAGTACTTTGGCTGTACGGGAAATTCCAATGACAAAAAAAAATGCGTGATACGTGCTAATTAAAACATGCCATAGATTTTTTTACGCATGAGGTTAAAAAATATTCACATTCATATAGATATACAGTTCGAAGAATTTTTAATTATAACAGCCAATTTTAGATATTAATGCTCAACAATGCATCGTCCGTGTTGTCAGGAAATAGTGTTGAAAAGCAAATTATAACGAGTTTTACTGAAAATATTGATCAAAATATTTCAGAAACTAAAAATCGGAACTGTATAATGTAAGTGGGGGAATTTCAGCATTTCATCCTCTCTGTAATGGGCTATTATCCAATTGGAGAGAAGTTGGTTGGGGTGTTCAGTAAAAAATAAATAAATAATATTTATTTTTATATATCATATAATTGTTCAATTAAGGCTATTATTAAAAATTGTATCATAACGCGACGCCGTATTGTAGAGGGGAAAAAGAAGAAATAGATTCGAAAACGAAATGATCATGAGTTTTATGAAATATAGAGATTAAAATAGCTCAGCAACTAAAAATCGGACATGCTTACTGTAAGCGAGGAAAATATTCAGCAGAATATTCAGAAATATTTATTTATATTATATTTATTTATTTATATTATATTTATTTATATTTTATTTTATTTATTTATTTATATTTATATTCAGAAATATTCAGCTCTCGGGAGAATTCGAGGCCAGACTTAAACGCCAAATAAATTGCGCAATACGTTTTGTTTTTGGAATCTCGCGAGATAAGCATATAATCCATTATTACACCAAGTTGAAGTGGCTCTATCCATCCAACCGCCGTCTGTACTACCATGCTATCATTTTATACCAAGCCATCAGAACTCAGCGGCATTCCTATATTTTTCAAAGGCTACAATTTAAATATTCTATTCAATCTCGTCCCACTAGATCTCGTACCTCCAACCTCTATCCACCTTCTCACCAAACTGCTACGTTTGACAAATCCTTTATAATTCAAGCCGTCTCCATTTGGAATACCACCCCTTCCGATATCCGACATGCGCAATCAGTTTCCCCATTTAAATCTCTCCTTTTTAACCACCTACTTCTTTACTAACCTTTTTGATCATCAAAAGTAGATAAGAGAACTTTTAAGTTCCCCCAGAAATGATGTTGTTTAATTATGTTATTTTATTTTCACATGTTTGTATTGTATATATCTGTATATATTTAGTGTTTTTGTTTTATTTTTCTTGCAATATTTTAATTTTAATGAGAATCATAAATATTTAATTTTATATATGCCCACACTGCCATTTATTCTGTATCTATAATTTGTCCTAACAACAGACAACACACCCAGGATAATAAAAATCTATTTTCATTTCATCCTCTTCATAATGAGCTATTATTTATAATTAATATTTCATATTATTAATGTTTTCACTTCCATCGTGTGGTTTAATGCACACACTTTACCTTTTTTTTTTAAATTAATTTTAGAGCGAGGTGCCGATGAACAGGGATAAGATTCGACAATGGCTGACCGGGTTCAGAGGTTCCAACGGCGACGCAGCGCTGACCATGAAAGATGCTGCCCTCTGGACGGACTCGAGGTACACCATACAGGCAAGGCAAGAGCTAGGCAAGAACTGGACATTAGCGGAAAAGGTGAGTAATCAGTCAATAAATGAATGAATGAATCATTCTCATTCAAAATTCAGTTAATGGCAATGGCGAAGCCAAAAATGGGGGCGTTTGTTTTTAAGGGACGTCAGTTCATTTAAGGGTTGGCAATGTCTTTATTTTCTAAACAATTTGTTCCTGGATGTTAAAATACTAACAACTAACCCATTGGTTTTTTCGATTCACACTTACACGGGAGAAGAGGGCCAAATTTTTATTTAAATATTTATTTTTAATTAAAGACTAACATATTAGACTTATCAAACAAGAACTCAACCGACGATATGACTATATAGCTATATAGATTCCTGAATAGAAAATCTGAAATTTCAATCGACAACAAATTACTGATTTACAAGACGATCTTAAAAGTTATATGGAACTACGGACTGGAACTGTGGAGGACGGAGAAGTTTTCTAACATGAAACGCATTCAATCCTTTAAGTCTAAAATCCTTCTAACAAGAGTTGAAGCTCCGTTCTATGTAACCCACAAAACCCTACACCATTACCTTGATATTCTATTTGTCTTAGACCTTGTCCCAGGTCTAGAAATTCTAAAATTCTCCAAATTACATAAGAACCTTACATATCATCCAACTCCCCCTTGCACAATCCCCATCTAGCTCCACCAATTTAAAATTTACCTCCCTACAATCCTCCTCGAAGGTTGAAGCGGTAGTGGCGCAGAGACCTTTTGTAAATAAGCATATATTGACCAATAGCCAGGTTCTCCGTAAAAGTATGCCTGTATTTAAGTTCTTATTTTGATTAGTGTATGTATTGTGTCTTTTAGTTTATATACATTTATTATTTAATTTATTTTTATTTATTGTACATAGAGTGTGAATGAGCTACTCTATCACTATTACTAATATCCTCAATTTTGAAAAAACCTAATATTATTCAATAAAGACATGTGAAAAAAAGAAAAAAAAATTATTCAATTTTCGCCAGTGGAATCCATGACCCCTCATCATTTTGATTTGAAGACAAATGATTTTTTATATGACCTCCTTTGCTATATTGGCGCCCGATAAATTAATTTATTTCTGATAATTCATATATGAAATTAATACTAGATATTTCTATAGTATTGATTTTTTTTTTCTCTACTTCCTCATATTTAGGCTCAACGGTTTTTTTTCGGGCCAGGGGGTAAGGACAGGAGATTGATGACAATGTTAAAAGTCCTTCCGGCATTGGGACGTTTGGGGCTTTATATATCAGGTGCCCAATTCCAGGAATTTTCGTAAATAAAATGTTTGTAGGTTACGATGAGATGAAGCTATTTGCGAAGTTCCAGCCGTAGGTTAATAATTTGATAAAAAAGGGGTCTGTACCACGGACTATGTCTACATTATTAAATATTTTAAGATAAAGATGATATGTATTACCTTAAATATTATTATTAAATGTTATATTTGATTACATTTTCAGAAAACAGAAATGGGTAGCTGGTTAGCAGACAGGCTGACCTCAGGACAAACTGTTGGAGCAGATCCAAAGAGAATGCCCCACTCCACCTGGCTTCGCATTCAAAAACAATTGAGTAAGTATGAGCATTCTTCCAATACTGATGTCAGCTCGTATTTAAATTTGTAAATATTTAAATTTATAACAAAGCCAAAAATAAAATTTAGAACATCATATCGTTCTCGTAAAGTAGAATAGATCCGTGTTAGCCGCAAAGATTCATCAATAATAGCCATGATACTTTCTACAGTTAGTAGCTGAAGCAAATGGTTTATTGTTAGGTTTAGCTCGCTCATAGAAACACAAATGGACCAATGGAACAAAAATAATATAATTATGATTAAATTAATAAGTTAACTTTGGTTATTTATAAAGTCACTCTTATATAGAAAGTTAAAAGTTTATAGCCACCTAATAAAAATAATTCCATTCATTAAATTTTGTAATCGTATGATTTCCGTTTATATGTAGAATTTTTGATAGAAATGTATTGATTTTTTTTATTCTTTTATATATTTATTCAAAGATAGCTATATATTGTTATGATAGGTACTTAATTACTTAATATATATTTTAGTCTGATTTTGTTGAACAGGTGAAAAAGGAATCGAATTGGTTGAAGCTGAGGACTTCACGAGCTTGTGGCGCGATCGACCTGGATTCCCCACTGCACCACTTTTCATATACGACATCAAGTACACAGGTATGATGTTATTGTTATTTAAAGAATAATGTTATTTTCCAAACCAACAATAAAATAAATGCTGCATTCTTGAACGCCGCAAACACAAACTCTTGGTAAATAAATAAACATTATTGGGAAAGGCGTTAACATGCTAACAGTACAGAGAAATATTGCGGTATAAAACTTGGCTTTAACTTTTACTATTTTAAAAAGAACAAAATCAAAAACTTTAAATAAAATGAGAAGATAAATCTGTTCGACAAAAATTGTTTGTTTATAATGAACTTAGCTTCATTTAGAAATTAAAAAATCGATTTTTTATACAAATCACAAAAATTTTGGACTGCATCGTTCTGAACAAAAATTCTCCTAACTATGATTTGAATTCACTTAAACATATACAGAGGTGTCCAGAAAGGGGTTTCATGACGCAAGTTGCACCATAAAAATTTTTGAGGGAGGCATATTTTGAGACGGGTTTTTCAATTAAAGGGATTATGAATTTTCGGACTAAGGGACAAGAGGAAAACATGGAACAGATCACAGCAAGTGTAATTGTATATGACCTACGATTTTCCTAATTCTATCTTAGTTTGCTTTGTCTTTAAGAAAAAAGTGAGCAATAAAATATCTTGTGAGGAGAGGAGAGGTAGGTTCTTGCGTCATCGACCTTGGGGGGATGGATATTTAAATTTATAGTTGGAAAATTGAATTTACACTCTTCCAATCCATACAAAAAACTGAAGGATTTCATGGCTTTGTAACGGAAATTATCAAACTTTATTTTTTAAATATATATATACTTCTCTGGTTCTAACTTGTTCCTCGAGGTTTGTGCCGTATCATGAAGTTTATACGCTCATAAACCACTCTCACGTTTCAGGTAGACCGGTGCAGTCTTGTTGAAATTTTCGTATTTTTGAAGTGGAAACTTCTTTATGCGCGTTTTGCACTATTTTAGTGGAGAATTAATTAGGTTGAAACGTCATATCTCCGATGTGTAACGCTCGGATAAATTCGGCTGGAGTCGACTAATAGAAGTATTTTTGCATATGGATTCAAATATCTAAAAAACTAAAAATCGGAGCTGCATACTGTAAGTGATGGCATTTTTCAGCATTTCGTCCTCTATGTAATGGGCTATAATTCAAAATTGAATCTTAATAATAACGAGTTTTATTGAAGATGTGTATTGAAATGTCTCAGAAACTAAAAATCGGACATGTATACTGTGAGTGAGGAGAAATGTTGATCATTTCAACCTATCTGTAACGAGCGTTATTTATAAATATTAATATATTTCGTATTATTAATCTCGCCTTGTTGATATTTTCACTTCTATCGTGTGCTCTAAAACACACATCTTAGTTGTTTTTTGTGATTGTTGATGATACGTCACAAGGCAAGGAAGGTTAAAATTGGACATCTTAAAATGTAAAGATGTTCTCACCTGAGTTGTTCTTGTGCCACCATCATTATCTTCGTTTTCAATTTTCTTGGCCACCTTTATATTTCTAGAAGAGTTTAGTGGCCCCAAAATGTGCTGTAAAAAGTAAAAATTTCTCGGATATATGTGTTAAAATATTTTGTTTTATCCTTATTATCTCAAAAGTCGACTATTTACCCATCTCTAAAATATTTTATGATTATACCGTATTAAACAGAAAATGTATACCCTGCCTGATCATGGCTGAATTGCTGAGGACAGAAAGCTTCCATCCAAATCCATGACAAAATTGTTTAATCACGGAGAAGATTACAGAGAAGAAATGCTGACTGGCTTTTCCATAGATGAAGTTGTAATAAAATTTATAAGTGGTATACATTCTTACGAGATTTTGCATTTCTGGTGGGCATATTGCGATGGGGTTTTAAATTTGATGAAGTAACCATATTTTTGTGAGATTTCAAATCGAAAGAACTTTCAAATCAGGGCATAGGCGGATTTAGGGGGGAAGACTTTCAGGATGAAGTTCCTCTCTCAAAAATGGCAAAATATAACCATGTCTTATGAAATAAATATTAAAAACTTATCTCTAAAAGTATTATTGTTCATTTAATAGCAGTTCAAGAATCATTTAAACATCATTTCATATAGGTAGTTAGTTTCTTTCTTTTTCCCAAAATAATAATAGTTATATATTTAAAAGCTTTCCAAATTTAACAAATAATTCTACTTTCGTTTGAGCCGTTTTTAAGAAGAGGAGTGGAATTTTTTAGAAGGGGATGCGTCATCGAGTTTGGGGGTGATGGGCATTCGGTATTTATATTATATTATTTATATAACATTAATTTGATTGACCCTCGTATTTCAGGACAAAGCCACGAAACGAAGCTGAGACGATACCGAGAGAAGTTATCCCAAAACAACTGCGTCATAGGTGTTGTAACGGCACTGGACGAGATCGCATGGCTGCTGAACCTGCGGGGAGGTGATGTGGTATACACCCCGCTGTTCGCCTCGTTCATGATCGTCAAGCCCGAGGAGGCAGTTCTTTATGTGAGGTCCTCTGTGGTCACTGCGGATGTCAGGAATCACCTCACCTCCTCCGATCATCCAATTACGTAAGTAATATTATCACTACTTATAAAAAAATAACAGTTTCGATAACAAACCCGAAAATTTCTTGAAACACCTATTACTCAGCATTAGCTTACAATGCTTCCTTATGAATCAGGTATTAAAAGTAGTTCATATGATATATTATAATATCCGTTTCCTCCTATTTGGATCACCAGCGGATCCAGTATTTAATTTTGTTTTTTGTAGGGGGAGGCTTCAGTCCGGAAGCTGTTTTTTCATATATATAACGATAATTACTTTGGAAAAAAAGAAAGATACTAACTACCTATATGAAATGGTGTTTAAGTGATTCTTGAAGTCCTATTAAATGTAATTGAACGAGCAAAAATATTTTAAGACATAATTGTTTTTACCATAAAACATGGTTACATTTTACCATTTTAGGGGAGGGGGAGACTTCAGCCTGAAAGCTCTCCCCTCCCCCCGTAGATCCGCTTGTTTATTGGATTATAGGGCATCTACATGTGAGTTTCATTCCGATCTTCTAGCTGAAACCTAGGAGTGCTCCGAAGGGGAGGCAATTTGCGCATATATATATAATAGATATATATCAAAAGTTTCGTAGCGTCATCAAAATTTTCTGGGGGAGGGGCACATTTCGACGTGGTCATGAAATCTCGGTGCGAAACGTTTCAAACCAAGGAACTAAGAGAAAAATATGGACCAGACCTCAGCAAGTGTATTGGGAGGGGGGCGAGGTGGCCGATTTTAAATTCCCGCCCTTACCCTCCGGCTCGGAAAAATCCCGATATAGTCTAAAAGGCGAGGTAAAGAAGAACAATAAAAAAAAGAAGTGTAATAGTGGATAATCTACGATTTTTCTTAATTTATTTTGGCTTGCGCTGTTTTTAAGAAGAGTAGAGCAATACAATTTCTTGGGGTGTAGGAAGGAGTTCATGCGCCATCGACCTTGGGGTCTTGTTATCTGCTTATCTGCGCCAATTCTCTCTTTTGTGAATTCCACAGTTGACCATATTTTTTGACGGAACCTTCAGATTTCCTTAAGGCGTGTCCTTTTCACTTTCATTTCTCTTTCCTAATTTCGAGATGAAAGGAACCTGCTATTGTCCAGAACTCCTCGTTCAAGTCCTCAAGCTACCAGAACCTCAAGGTTCTTTGCAAAAAGCCTTTTGAAGAGATCAAGTAATGGTTTCAATCACCTCTCTGATTCGCCATCGTCGAGCAGAATCTTCTCAGGGAGTTTCTTGTTTTTATAATTAGGTTATAGCTGAAGAAAACACCACCTTCGACAAGGAAATTTTAGGATCTCATAACAAAAAACAAATATGTCTATTACCGTAATTTTGTATTTAAATAAAAGTAATATTTTTAAACTTTCAAGGACCACTTAAACATTTTATAAAGGCGAAAATTAAATCCTGAATCCACTACTAACTAATGATAACAAATTTTATTCTCTCTCTTTTAAGAGTTTTACTCGCATTGTTTATGTTATTATTTTATTTTCAGGATTAAAGAGTACGACGAATTCTGGCAAGACTGGAAGGAAATAGGAACTTCGGACGTCAATATTTACGTCCCGAACAAAGCTAATTATTTCGTTTATTCAGCTGTAAGTTATAATCATCATATCACACTTCTTTAAAAATTAAGCAAAGCAATATCTATTTATTATAAATATGTTAAAATATATTTTTGTTTTTATGCTGCAGGTGCCAAATGACAAACGAAAAAATGGTACTTCCCTGGTCGTGGACCTGAGGGCCTACAAGACAGCTGCTGAGGTTAATGCCACGCGGGAAGCTCACGTCTATGACTCAATAGCTCTCATCAGATTGTTCAGGACACTGGAAACAGAGGTATTTGATTCTGCTAAATAAGAGGTTTCTCCAGAAAGTTCTTATTTATTGACTTAGCAGCAGAGACACTGAAGTTATTAGATTCTCCCCTTTGGCATTAGATTCTCATGAGTTAGCCGAGAGTGTCCAATTCGTAGCCTTGTCAGGATTATTTCTTCTCTTCTGTTTAACTGGAGGTCCACTCGACTTGGAACTACAGACATGCCAGAGACCCTGCCATTTTTCCAGAGCCTTTCTCTTTACCAAAACTACAACTTCCTTTCGAAAAACATCCCCTACTGGAGTTCCTATCTTGATTGTTTTTTTTTTTTTTTTTTTTTTTTTTTTTGTCATAATACTGGCTACCACATTACCTCTAAAACTTAAGGGACCCGGTAACCACAAAAATTGTATCTTACATCCAACACCTTCCAATGTTTTTATATGCCTAATTGTGTCTGTGACAGAAGAGCACATTATGAATCTGTACAAATATAAATCTGCTGTTTATTGCAGTTGAGACTGCAAACTGCACGATTTATTGCAAAAAGTTCTGCATGGCAGGAAGTGCAATATGGGGATAATGAGAACATTTGTACATTGACGAAAACAGTGGCCGCACCGACTCCTTGGAAATCCGGTTTGAGGTTCTTCAGCTGCCACGTCAGAACGTTGTAGTTGAACTGCAGTGAACCAACATCAAGTTTCTCGTGTAACTAGATAAGAACGGCCACAAAACTTTTCGATAAGACGTTTTGAAGGAATGAACCATTAACAGCTGATTTAAACGCTTTTGTTCAGGATGTCCTATTAATTCTGTTTGTGGAAAGAATTCGTTCCTCAAGATCAGTACGTTAATGGAAACTTCTTCCTCAAAGTTCGTGAGCTTTGATTCGAAAGAATTCGGTTCAACGGGCATCATTTCCTCCTCTCCCTCTTCCTGGCTATTTCTGGCATATGGGTTTCTCGGTAGCAATGGGGTAGTGCGCTTGGATTTGCTGATGACACTGCCACTGACAAAAACTCTTTGTTTCATTGTATTTATTAATGATATAAATAGTTGAGGATGTCTTTATTTTGGGAATAATAATGTAGTCCTGCCTGGGCTACAAGTTGTTTTCCTCCTTACGGTCCATTGGTTATCAACCATCTCTAATCTTATATAACTCAATCTCAAATAACTCAGCTTCTTCTTCCAAATGTTCCTCTGGCTCCTTTAAATCCGTTGGTCTTTGTGGTTCTGATTCTTTCCCATCCACTTCTTCCCCTCCTCTGGCAGGCGTTCTCTCCTCAGGGAGAAATGCATAGGACCCACTAATTCCTTCTACATACTCACATACTCGATGAAGTGGAGGTAGTTATTCTCCCCCATCAATCCAGAGAAATCTTCTCAAAAGTTGTGCATAATTTTAGGTCAAAATTCAATTACCTTCACAGACCATTCCCCCTCCACATATTTACCTGACTTGTTATAAGTGACTTTTTCAGTTTTCTCAAATGCAAGATGTTGCTTTAGGACCGTTGGAACAGAAAAGATGAAGTGGCTCGAAAACCTCAGAACAGGGGACTTCTAAGGAGCAAAGGATATTTTAAAGGAGGCAATATTTAACTATCTGAAGAAATGTATTTTATTTTTTAATTTTAATTTAATATTTGAACTTTCCAGACAAACTTCCTACATTATAACAATTAAAAGTCCCATTAGGACCCAGGATTCGCTCAAGATCAAAAACAAAATAGGATTTTGTCTAAATCCTTAAAGACCAAAAAAAAAAATATAAACACTGCGGCATGACCAAAGACTACTAGTTTTCACAATCCCATGAAAAATAATTAAAATGTAAATCAAATGATGGTAGGAAGAATGATCAGGTTTCCATATTTAAGGTAACTTTGAACAGTATTGATGGTTCAAAGATAAACGAAAAATGATAAATTACTCATTTGCCTGTAACATGAAGTGCTCTCACAGTAAAAATAGCTGTCTCTCACAATAAGTTCATTAGCTGATTTTATACTTTATTCTCCTGTAAAAACCGTTGTATAAAGACAGAAACTTCAATAAACATAGATCCTAAAGTATTGTGGATTCAGGGCCAAAGTAAGGAAACAATAGCAAAAAACTAATTCAGAAAATGTTATTTTTGTACAATTACTTTTAAGCAGTCATTAAATGTTATTTAATTTGAACGTTAAATAGCTTCACCTATGTGCTAGAACACCTTTAAACACCTTAACATTTTTCATGCTATTCTACAATAGCAAATATGGTCTATAAAATTTATTTCATTATCTCCAAATAATGTTCCTAGTCATCTAATCTGATTTTTTAGTATTTAGTTAATTAGTATCATCTTGATGATGATTCCATAAACACTTCAGTCATCATTTAATAAATATCTCATCTGTTATAGATTCCTAAAGAAAATCAAACATACAATGAAGGGGACGTCTCCAGACTAGTGACCAAATTGAGGAGAGAAGGATCACCAGACTACAGGGGGCCCAGCTTTCCAGATATTGTTGCCTCGGGGGCCAACGGAGCGCTACCACACTACAATCTGGAGCCAGGACACGAGGCCATGGTCAACACCTCTGCTGTCTTGTTGATAGATTCTGGTGGACAATATCTAGGTATTCTATTTATTTATGTCTAGAAATAGCTAAGATATTAGAATAGAATTGAATAGGAAAATAACTTTATTCTGGGACGATGTCACTTTTTCTCCTCATTTTCTTCCTATTCTTTCTGTCTTTAAAATTAATAAAGTAATACCCACAATAAATATAGGTGGTGCAGCAGGATTCCTAAGGATTTCAATAATAATAGATTCCGCCATACTCTGTAGCAGATTCCTTTAAACACCAAGCCTATCCAAAACATTAATAGTTGAAAGGAGAAAAGTTTAAAGTGAAAATAAAAAATACTGTCAGAGAAAATTCAATGTCAGTTAAAATTAATTAGCATAAAATTTAATTTATATTCGTAAGTAAAACGTGAATAATAAAAATTAAATCTTTGCGAAGAGGGAGTGAAAAACAGGATTTTAAATGTGGCTAAGGAAGCTTGTCAGATTTGAAGGGAGAGGGAATTCCAACAACAATGTAGTGTGATGGAAAGACATTTATACTGTAACCACGAAAATTGTTAAGGTTTTCCAAGATTTAAGAGGAAGTTTGGCAGAATGGGATACTAAGGAGCATTCAATTTTTTTAATTCTGTAGGAAAAAAATGTAATAGTCAGGAATAGTGAGGACTTTTATTGCGGGAGAATGTAGAAGTAGGATGTTGAAATCTGCTATGGGGAAGTTCACGTCCCGGTACTGGTGGAGCTTCTAGCTCTGACATTAATCCAATGCCCCATTAATACTCCTGATCCTGGAAAGTCCCGGTATAGCCTAAAAGACCCTAATGAAGGAATGGACAAAAAAAAATGATTGCACTCAATCAAGTTCACTAAAATAATTAATAACGAGTGTCTTATTAGAAATATTTAGAAGAGATGGATAGTTAAAGGATGTATTTTAAAATGAATGCTTTCTTAAGTAGAGGTTTCAGTCTAAAGAAAATATTGAAGGAAACCATTGATAATTTTATAAATTTTATTTACCTTAAGGTGGAACAACAGACATTACAAGGGTCCTCCACTTCGGCAAACCAAGACCAATCGAGATAGACGTCTACACTCGTCTCTTGAAAGGAGTGGCAAGACTTGGAGGTGCTACATTCCCTGAAGGAACCAGATCTATTGCTCTAGAAACTCTCGTCAGACAACCATTATTCGAAGTAGGATTAGAATATGGTCATGGCAGCACGCATGGAATTGGAATATATCTTTCAGTACACGAAGGCGAGTTTCATTGATCATTAATTATCTAAAAAAAATTATATTAATAGCATTCAAAGTAATTCATCTTTATAAAATTTAAATTAATTTATTTTCAGAATACAATGGCACCTACTATGAACACTTTATTGGTTCACAAGGTAAGGCTTACTAAATATTTAGATACCATTTTTTGTTTTTAAGGAAAATATATATTTTGAATTCATTTATTTATTTTCCATTTAACAATTTAATATTTCATTTATTATACTAAATTGTAAAAGACATAGAATAAATAAATGACCTACTCATAGAGTTACTATTTAAAAGAAAGAAATTTAAAATATAAATAAATAAGCTTTGGTTTTTGTATTATTCATTAATTGAACTGTTTTTTTTATAATTGGAAATTTGTTTAAATCTAAAAATATAACCACTCAAGTTTGCTACTTGCTGAAAAGAAGTTTGCTACTTGCTACTTGGTACTTAGTCTGTTTGTGCTTAAATCTTTCACTGAGGTAGACAAAATCTACTAATAATAAGTCAAAAAATAATAATTTACATTAACTTTGATTTCTAAATAAATTCAATACATTAAATACAGGACTGCCATCTTAATAATATTATTATAAATCTTATAATAATAAAAACACTCATTTTGATCACAACAGTCCTACTTTATTTTTTACACCGATGTTGAATCTTCAGAAATCTTATCTTAGTAGAGCACTTAAGTATCCAAAATCATGCAAATATGAACATAATAATTAAAGTACATTTGACGAAGAAATGGGCTACTAATTAACACTATGTTAATTTTTAATTATTTATCCAACAATGGTAATCCCTATTTAAGTGGAATATCAAAAACTTGAACTTAATTTTTTAAAAGTAATTTATTTTTATTTATTTATTTTTATTATTTTTCTGTTGGTAAATTATACTGATGATTAATAAGCTCTAGAGATATGTGACTTATTTTATCATTATCATATAATTCAACTGTTATTTCCAAATTGCATGAAATTGTAATAAGGTTTCGTAACAATGTTCAATAATTAATCATATTTCGATCTAGTAAACAAACATTTGGAATTTTTAATTGTCTTATAACTTTTTATTTATAGAACCTGGATATTATGAAGAGAATAATTTTGGTATGAGACTGGAAAATGCAGTATTGGTTGTTCCAACAGAAACCAAATATAAGGTATAATGTGGCTTTTTATTTAATTTTTTTTATTTATTAATGATATTTACAACTGTATTAAAGAAATACATCTAGTAAATTTGTACAAATGGATATTATTAAGTGAAAACACTTGTTAAGAAACTACCCACTGGTAGCACTCTAATATGTGCTAATGTGACATTAGGAGATCACGGGGCCATCTTCTTTTCAGACGCCTCGGAGGGTTATCAGAAATTAAAGAGGAAGCAAGATTAGAAATGAGAGGGTTGAGATGGTTCTGAAGTTTATTATGGAAGGATAAGTATCTGGATTGGGCCAAATCTGAAACATAAGAAACATTAAGGTCATTATGGATGGTTTTATTTGTAACAAAGTAGGGAGCATTGAGGATTTTACGAACGATTTTGGATTGTAAAGATTGGATATGAGAAGAATCCGATGGTTTAGTGGAGCCCCATAGCTCAACTTCGTAAATCCAAATTGGTCTTATGTAGCCATGTATATGAGTCTTTTGGAATTAATTGGAAGTTTAGAGCGTTTATCTAGTAAGTGCTAGAGTAGTCAAAAACATCGAGCGGTTTCTTGTCGTTTCAGTCTAGTAGACTTTTTATTTAATTTTTTTTTATCTTGAAATTAGCAGAAAATTAAATTGTTTGTATTTATTTTGATTAAAAACATGGGAGAGTGATAGTCCACTCATTTAGTCTGACAGATAGTGTGTAAAACATTGATTAATTTTTAGTTATAAGTTAATACTTATCACCAAGCTTCAAGATACCAAATTTAACAAGGATAGATTATAATTGAAATGTATATACCACTAATTAGGGCATTTAGTTGTTTCTAAAATTATGTATATGACGAACTGCAACTACCCAAAAAATCTTAGTCCTGTCTGATGCATCAAATTCATAAAATTTTGTTCCATAATATTTTTTTTTTTACTAGCCTGTTGTTACAAGAATGTTTTCAACTTTTAAGCCTCCCCTAATTAAGGGGATAAGGATCCCTACCTTCCATGGGGACTAGCCATACTGAAAGTAGGGGCTGGTATTCAATCCTATGATTTTTACATTACCAGTATAGCATAGTTAGCAAAGTACGGATTCTAGTATATATACGGGACTCCTAATTAATATTATTTTATATGAAATCACTTTATCTTCTGTTTCAAATATATATTCCTTATGTATATAACTAAGTGAAACAAATTTATGAAATAAAAGTCAGCAAATTATAATTATAATTTTAAATTTATACTATTTGGAAGCAGGTCTTACTAATTTTACTTTTTAAAGAAGGAAGTGGAGATCTGTAAAAAAATTATTTTAACATTTTAAAACAAAAGGTTTTAATACAATATTTTTTTTTATATTTAGGGAAAAACAAATACAAAGTTCATGAAGTTTGCACCATTGACATTAGTCCCTTATGAAACAAAACTAATAGATCCAAGTATAATGGATGAATCTGAAGTAAGCAGTTTTTATATAATATTTTTCCTATTTCAAATATACAGCCTTAACAAAATAATATTCTTTTTTTTTTATTTATATATTAATGATGTATCTTTTTTATCAGATCGAATGGGTGAACAACTACCACAAAGAAGTATTAGACAAAGTTGGAACAAGGCTCTGGTCTCTGGGTGACAAAGAAACATACAACTGGCTTTTATTAAAAACCAAACCGATAATTAAGTAAAGCTGGTCAAAATAAAATAAATGTATATAACACCCCAAAAGTAATGTGATTAATAACCTGTTACATAATAACCAGTTCCTCATTTCCTATGTGATCATAAGTGAAAATATGCATAGTACAATTACTTTAAGCATTGAGCAGAAGTATATATTACCTTTAATCATTTTAAATCTAAATTAAAAAATAAAACAATAATAACAAAAAAAAATCACAATTAGATTTTTTAAAAATTATTATTCAGGATTAAGAACTTATCATCTGAATCACAAATTTCTTTTATTCTCAAAGAATGTTTTCAAACAAACCAGCTGATTTGGTCTCAACCAATTATTTAAAATCTGTTATTTCACCCTATAAAATCCTTAAGAATTTTCTCATTTTCCTTTCCATTTTCGAATTTTCTCATATAGTGTTATTTTTGTTATCTGTCAGTTATTGTGTCTTAACTAAGTAATCTATTTCTTTGGCTGAATAAAGGAGGAGAACATTACCACTAGAGAAGGGTAAACAGTGAAATAGTGAAAAATGGAAGGAAGGTTTTTCTCCTGAAATAACCAATTATTTAAAAAGAAAAAAAAGTTATTTCGAAATAACCTATCAAATTTCCATATTCATATTACTGACTTAAAATACAAGATCAGAAACAAATGTCTTCTGATTCTTCTATAGCTATTCCTGGATCATAGACTTTGAGGAGGGCCCCAATAAAATAAAGAGGGGACAAGAATATCGTTTTGTCCCCTCCCGATATTTCGATAAACAAAAATAAAATCAAAATTAATAACAATTAATCTATATGAATAAATGAGACATGTAAACTAAAATCAATTAATAAAATAAGTATTTACATAATTATTTCACCATGTTCCTATTATTGAAACATTGGTTTATTTTCAAAGATTTGTAGGAACATATCCTATGATTTTATGATTCATTCATGTACACCCTTTCATTTTTACGTGAAGCTTTATCACTTTTCATGGGACAAAAGTTAAGCATGAGAGTTCATCTCACTGCCCTAAACCTTCAAATAAAAAAAAAAAATATGTAATGTATTAAATTGCTTTGTTAACATTTGTTCAAATAAAACCATATGCAAACATATATATATATATATTATATATATATATATATATATATATATATATATATATATATTTATATATAGCATTATATTGTTTATTTCTCAATAATTATATTAATTACCACTCATAATTTTCATACATAGTATAAATTCCTGAGACTTTTTTTGGGCAATCTATATAAAGTTCCGAACAGAATGGAAAGTCTGTGCCAATGTCCTAGATGCTGAATAACATGACACAATAGGTGGTCTGCGGATGTAAAAATGTTAAGAAACTATGTTCTGAATTACTCAACTCGGATCAGAGTCATGGATGGTAAAAATAAGGAATCTTTTGAAAAACTAAATATCTTTTAAGGCAGTGCAATATATATGTAGGCACAGCTGTGTGAGGATAATCAATTTAAAACACAAATCTTTTCTTAGGAATTTACTGATCTGAACTGAATGAAAATTCATGAGGCAATTATGATAAAATACTCATAATAAAATTTGTAGGAAATAAAATAATAAACCTCTTTATAACTACTCAATTATTGTTTTTGTTTATTTCTTCTTTTATAATTTTCTAGAAATCATCAGAGTTTTGTCAAATTATTTTATTAATTTTAACTGTATAAGAAAATGAAAAGATTATTTCAGTATTAATAGTGCTGTACTACCAAAATTGTAAAAATGCTGTATTACTCTTACCTTGTTATTAGGTGTTTTGTTGTAATTGGATAGAATTAATAGATCTTTCTAAAAATTAAAATAATTCATTTAAAAAAACAACTTATAATTGATTATATGCGAGTTTATATTCAGTGAAAAACTTATATGACAGGAACTAATGGTTTATTTCATATGCATAACTAAATTATTAAAATACTTATTTCAATTCTTTATATGTTAACAAATTGATCAGGCTCTCATGAATGACTGCTTACTGATTCAAATTGGCGGTATTTCGTTATAACTACTGATAATTGACATTATAATAAAAAAATTCATTTTGAGCATTGAAGTTTCAAAACCTAGCAAACATTCGCAAAAAAAGTGTAACAATATAAATGAAAAACAGAAATTCAAAACAGGTTACCTCAACTTTGATGTCTCTTTCATTTTTCATTAGATTATTTTGTAAACGATGAAGATCGCTCTGCTTTATTACTTTAGTATTGTCTATCTTTATAGGAAATCTTTCCTATATATAAAAAGGATATAGGAAAGATTAGAGAAATGGAATTCTTGTTATTTCTCTATCGAAAATATTTTCTGAACTAATGAAAATGACTTAAGAAGAAACTAGAAAGTAAGGATTTTCATCACTACTACGTACTTCCTGCACAACTACGAAATATACTTCCTGCCACTAGCGGATCCAGGATTTAATTTTTTTGGGGGGGGCTTCAGCCCGAAAGCTTTTTTTTTCATAAAAATAACGATAATTACTTTGGAAAAAAAAGAAAGAAACTAACTACCTATATGAAATGATGTTTAAGTGATTACTAAAGTCTTTTTTAATGTAATTACACGAACAATAATACTTTAAGAGATAATTTTTTTCCATAAAACATGGTTGTATTTTAACATTTTGTGGGGCTTCAGCTCCAAAGTCCCCTGCTCCCCTCTGCTTTCTGTTATAATGTATGGCACGGGCGGATCTACGGGGGGGGGGGAGGGGGCTTTCGGGCTGAAGCCCCCCCCAAAATGGTAAAATATAACCGTTTTATCGAAAAAAATATTTAAAAAGTATCTCTTAAAGTATTATTATTCATGTAATTACATTTAAAAGGGCTTTAGGAATAACTTAAACACCATTTCATACAGGTAGTTAGTTTCTTTCTTTTTTTCCAAAGTAAGTATCGTTATTTTTATGAAAAAAAAAAACTTTCGGGCTGAAGCCCCCCCAAAAATAAATCCTGGATCCGCTAATGATGTATGGAAAACGTGATTGTTTAAGATAAGGAATGGAAGACGATTTAACGTCTTTGAGCATGTATATTATTTAAAATAGTTTAGCTATAAAATAGTTTAGTTACAAAAACCAGTAATTTTTCCACCATTTCGGAATTATTTTTCCACCATCCAGGGGGAAGAGCGGGTCCTCTGGCAGAAATCACTAGTACTGGTCAGGATAATAATTTTTTTTTATATTACAATATAAAATTCGTCTATGGGGATACATTTTCTCAATATTTCTCTTTTCTTTAAATAACTGCTTTTTGGAACTTTACCCCCTCTATTTAGGGGTACAGTGGCTTAATAATATTATTAAGCCACTTTAGGCGAGAGAGGGGCGCTTCCCCCGGCTAGATTCGCTAATACTGGTCATGATAATATTTTTTTATATCAAATTAGAATATTCATCTTAGAGGATGAATTTTTCTTTTCTTTAGGTAACTTTTTTATGGAATTATTTTTCAGCCATCTAGGGAGACCTGACAGAAATTGCTAGTGCTGGTCATGATAATATATTATATTAGGAAAGTTGTCTATGACTATAAATTTTCTCAGTATTTCTCTTTTCTTTAAATAGCTGTTTTTTGAAACTGTTTTTCTGATTTTTTTTCACCTTCCAGGAGGAGGGGGAAGAGGATCGCGCTTCCCCCAGTTAGATCCGCTAGTAACACCACTTCTCTATTTTTATTTGAGGGAGGAGGAGAAGACAGCAGATGGAAAATGTCAAAAACAAGAAACAAAAAATATATGAATATAAATGAAATAAATTTGTTTCTCCTACAGTTTGTGAAATGTCTAAACACATCTTAAGAACCTAAAACTACATTTTTGCATAATCATTTTCATAAACTCAATTTAAAATGATTTTCAATGGATCAGATCACTTTGGCAACTATTTTCAGCTATTTCGCCCATAAATGAAAAATATTTAGTGTAAATAAATATTCATATTTATTAAATTATTCATTGTTTTTAGAACAAAGTATAAATACAAATTATTTGTTTAATACAACAAGCTAAATTAAAAAAATAATAATATAACTGCTGGTTGTTTTGTTACTTTTTTCAAGATAAAATTTTTTCAAACCTTCCAGGAAGGAGGGCCTCTATCAATACTCTTAAGGATTAAAATGGAATAGCTCAGATTTTGTTTACACTTAGTAAGTTATATTTTGAAGTACATAATTTTGATAAATAGAATTAGAATGGTTCTAGCTCCCATGACAGAATAGAAACAAAGTTTTTGATATTTTTAATATGAATAAACTGATTTTGTGGAAGTTTTAAATATTTAGTTGTTAATATTCCTATAGTAGTGATGAAATTGTTTTGGAGGGAACTACATAGCATATATCCTGCTCTTTTGCACCAACGTAATATGTCTAGATGAGTATAATACTGGGTTAAGATTGGTTTAGAGATAGCCGGGTTTCATTGCTTGACTGAAGCAATTCCAGCTAATTACTTATTAAGTAAACACAGCCATTGGTGAATTATAGGGCTTCTCCAATAGTGTAACTTAAATAGATTGCCTTGATAGTATTCTTTCTACTAATAAGAATGTTTCCCTAATACCTTTAATCTTTCTAATATATTGGGTTGGCAAATAAGTCCTTTCAGGTTTTCAGGGTGAAATAAAACTCAATGTATTATGGACATAAAATTTATTTAAATCTACAATATATTGACCATTATTTAATATGACTTTTTCCCATCTTTCCAGTAACTGCATAATGCCATGTTTATAGAATGTCTGGAGTTTATTGTTAAAAATCTGATCCAAGTGGTTTTTTATGTCCTCTTCCTATTGGAATTTCTTTCCATTCATGAAGCTCTGCAGAGACCGGGAATAAGTGGTAGTCACTTGGAACTAGGTCTGATAAATAGGGAGGATGGGGCAAAAGGTTCCATCCTAGGCTCAATAATTCATAGCGAGTAACCAAGTCTTGATGAAACACAACACCCTTCCGATCATTCATAACTCTTCAGGATATTCTCCAAATTCAATGTTACTATACCCGTTGGAAAGCTGAATTATTGCTCTTCAAAGCTGTATGAATTGGTTTTTTTATTTAATTCCTACATAAGGAATAAATGAACAAAAACTCCTAATAGGTTTTTATTTTTAATCTCCATTTATAGGTTGTTTACGAAGGTCCTTTTATATAGTTTATGTTGCCCTAAATTCCTTGCAAAAATTTCTTTTAGATAGCTAAAGTCGTATTGAAGTTATAACATTTTTTGTGATTTTCGAAAAAAATCATGTGAGGAACTCAAACATTAAGCCTGGAAACATAGCCAAACTTGTGCAAATGGTTTTCTACGCTTGTGTGCGATATATTTAGGGCTATAGCAATCTCTCGCACTGATTGGGTGGGATTTTGATCAACAATGGCCTTAACATTGCTCGTTTCAATTTCATGAGGACGACAAGACCGCTGAGCATCATTGTTGTCAAAATTTCCTGAATGAAATTTGGCAAACCAATTTTAACAGCTGCGTTCGGTTAAAGCATCATCTCCATAAACACTGTAAATTTTGCTGGGAGCTTCTGCAGCACGCTTAACTTTGTAAAAATAATACAACAAAATATGGCGATAATGAATGATATTTTCTTGCATATTCACGGTGCAATAGCAAACACAATACTAAGCTAGTTTCAACTAGAGTTAACAGATATAGTTGTTGACATATTACAAACAGGATAAACAATCCACCTTAAGGATTAATTCATCAGATAAGAAGTACATCATAGTGCCGTAAAAATAAACAGAAAAACCAAAAGGACTAATTTGCCAACCCAATATTAGGGAGAAGATATACTAGTTTACGTCTTTCGTCTTTAGAAAAAAGGATAAAAAATCATCAAAGTATCTTTTCAAATTGATTTCCCTTTAAAATATATATAATTATTAAAGCAATGGTTAAATAAAAAAGATATTTGGAAAATAATGTTTATTACACATATAAGATCGGTAGACATACTCAAATTTAGAGATTGTTATAAAGTATAGAGTTAAAAACTAGAGGGAAAATGAATAAATATGAAACAGAAACTAACACACACTAATAAGAGAATTTGGCCAATCATTCCAAAATCTTTTACTACTTTCAAGTTTTTATTTTTTTATTTGTTAACTATCATTCTTTGTTCTTTTTATAAATATTATGATTTTTTTTTTTCATTTTTACGATAATAAATTAAATAACATCCAACATGAGTTAATTTATAATGCAAGAACAAAAAGAAAACTAACATACTATTCCAAGATGATTATTAATGAAATTTGATGAAGGGGAAAACTATTTTGTTTTCTGTGAACAAAATAATGAATTCAGTGGAAATGTATGCTCTTAAAATCTCCAAAATATATTTTTTTAAATTTTATTTTTACTTTTAAATATATGCTATTTACAATATCATTTATGCATTTTTTTCTAATATATATTAATAACAAAAAGCTACAAAATATTAGTTAACTGTATATATAGCATGGATTTAATTACAATAACTAAACAATAATACAATATTTACACACACATAACAAGCGACAGATCTGAAAAATTGAAGTTGTTTTACACATTACTGGTTCTATAAGAAACAAAACAAAACAAAAAAAAAATTAATTATAATGAAAACCTAATATTAAGTGAAAGAGAGCTTGTTTGTAATACTATAACAGCATCCAAGACTGCTAAATGGCTGTATTGATAAAGGCACATAGTTTCCTTTTGGTAACTTGATCATGCCCCACTAACAGTCTACAAACTGATTTTTTAACTACAAAGTTTGCATTAAAAAAATATTAATAACAATAATAATAATAAAAAAAAATTAAAATTAAAAATAAGAATAATATTAATACTAATTTTCAACAGCCTTTAACCTCCAGTAATAGATCTGTTTTCTAATTTGCACAGCCTTCTTCAGTTAAAGTTTACTATATAAAAATAAACTAAATATCGTGGTGGCGTATGGTTAAGAAGCTGTAGTTATTTTTAAAAAATAACAAACTGCCTGAAATATTGCTGTAAGTATCAGGCGTAACAGTTCTATTTTACAATGTATTATATACCTAATATATTAACTGCCACTGCCCTCAATCCACACAGCCTTACTATTATAATTTTTAAAGTATAGCATTTCTAAGCCAATTGTAACCTTTTCTATTTCAAATGTAACTTTTTCCATTTCATATGTAACCCTTTAAGGTTAGATTTGAAATGGAAAAGTTTACAATTGGCTTGCAAATGCTATAAATGTATATTTATATATGTGTGTGTGTGTATTTGAATGTATCTATTGAAAATGTTTAATGATTGAGAAGTGAAAAGAATTAGTTATATCACACATCATTCAACATCAGAATTAAAAAAAAAAAAAAAAACTGCAAAATTATCATTCTGGATGAACATAGAACATACAGTCATAGCAAATTAAAATGAAACCCAGGACACTTTACTGCTTTTTGCGATCATGTTAATCTAATACAGAAGTGCCCAACCCGAGGCACATGTGCTGTAATGGGGCACACTGGAAGTTCCAAATCACGACATGGGCAGTAGTCGGTTTTTAATTTTTTTTATTCTTAGTTTTATTATTAAAAACATTTTTCAAGTTCTCTTTCTGAGATGAAAGAGTATTTTAGACTCAGCCTCTTTGATACGGATTAAATTATAAAGTATTCTTAAAATTTATAACAGGAGTAAAAATAATTTAAAAAACTAGCGCCTATATTAAATAGAAATAATTATTGTGAAATTGGTAGGCTAATTAGGTGGCACACCTCAATATGGGAAACCCTTGATTGTGGCACGCATTGTAAAAAAGTTGGGCACCCCTGATATAATATAACTTTAGAAACTAGAATATATAATAATTCAGACATAGATCGATCCTAGTTTCATTTATTAATCTATAAATTTATAAATTGTAATGATTATGTTGAGACTTACTTAGAGTAAACCAATTATAAATATAATAAACATTATATACAACATTAACTACTTTGTAGTTTTAAACTAACTTTAGTTAGAAGCTAATCTGAAAACATAACTAACAGTTTTTATCCCTGTTTAGGAATTATAATTCTATCACACTGGTTTATAATTATTTTATTAGTCAAGTCCTGGATTTCTAGTAACCGATTGCAACCATTATTAAATTAACAATTTCAAATGGTATTTATTAAAACAGTTCAATTAAATAATATTGAATCAAACAATGATATGTATTTATTTTTTAATGATAAAAATTTTGAATTTCTGAGAGAATAAAAAATAAAATATATATTTTGGGAATCGATACTAGAATTTTATGTACAATAAATTAAAAAGGCTATAGAGAGATCACATTTTGCACCTAGTTAAGACACATATTACATAATTTATTTCTTTGACCATAATTGTTAAATATTATATACACTAAATATAACTGCAACAAAAAATGTTAACAGTTAATATAAAAATATTTTCCTTAAAGGAATAATTTTCATAATTTACAATAATTTTAGCTACATCTATCAACACATACGCCACATAGACCTAAACTGTTTATGATTCATTTACATAGTATATATATATGTTTTCAATTTATTGAAAAATATATATAAATACATTTATTTAATTAAAGACATTCCTCAAAATAAATTAATGCTGGTTAACACATAAATTTTACAAGATTATGCAAGTATACATTATTTAAATATATTTATTTATATATGTATATATATATTTATATATAAAATATAATTACAATTCAGAAAAAAAATAATAATAAAACAAAAACCGAGAGGGATATTATAATTTAAACTTTAATGACGAAATCTTTTTGCCCTCAACATATACACATTTAAATTAAAAAATATACAAAACAAAACCGCATTTGAGTTTCAGAAAATGTTCATATAAGCTTTAAAAGGCTGTAAGCGAGTAAAAAAAAAACAAAACAAAAATAAACAGCAGAAACCCAAAGTGCACATTTATTCCTTTTTAAGGAACTTAAAAAAAAAATGTTACACACAGCACCAGACAACTTACACAAAATATAAATCTTACCACATTAGGACTAAGGCACGAGAGTGCTAAGGCCGAATTTTCTACCATTTGATAAACTTTTTATACGTATTACAATATCAAGGCACTATAGAACACAATATTCCTTATAAAAAACTGGTTTGTGTTTTTATGCATTGATTTAATTTTTCTTCCTTATAATAAACGAAACATTTTTCATAATGCAAGACAGTCTATATTCATAAACAACAATCTTGATATAATGATAAAACTTCTAACCTGAATTTTCTTATGATCAGTCTACAAATGTAGGAGTTACATGACAGAAAATACTTGACTTCGTAGTTGTCTTCAAGTAGTACCAATTTATAACTGGTATAAAGTTGGTATATTTTAACAATTAATTTGATATCAATTTTTTAAAATAATGATCTATTAAGTGAGACTTATTAATATAAATTAGTAAAGCATTATAAATATTTAGGTACTACAGGAAGACAAGTGAACTCTCAATATAAATTTTAACAGAAACAATTTTTCAGAAATTCAAACAATATATATAATAACATCTCAAGGTTCATGAAATAAGAAAGCGTTATGTCATACATAAACAGCACCTTGATTTTCTGTATCATCAAGACTAATTTTGTTTGGGTACGGTGCTGCGCCACCATCATCAAAAAACCTTCTGAATGTGAACTCGAAAAATCCATGAAACGGTTTTCCACTATCACTTAACTCGTCAGACTTAGACGAGTCTGACGAAGAGTTCCTAAGCTTATCAGGATCGACGGGGTCGAAATTTGAAGTATCCGTCGAGTGCTTGATACGAGGGATATGAGGAGGGGCTTGACGTCGAACACCTTTCTCAAAGTCAACCGAACTGAAGAACGGGTGAGCTTTAACTTCGGCTGCATTCTTGCCAAGACGTCTGTCAGCGGAAGTACAAAGCTTCAGGATGAGGTCAGTGCCCTCGGGTGAAACCTTAGCGGCTTTAGGAATCTGAAGCGTAGTTTCCCAGTTTATCACCTGAAAAAAAAATATTGGTTATTAATAAGCAATAAATCTTAAATTTAGTTTACAAGTTAAATAAAAAAAACCCTGTACCACTACAACTTATGAAAGGTCTTATGTTCAGTACTATTTCTTGGTCAAAGGTTGTGCCAGAAAAGAAGTCATTTGACCTTGATCATGCTCAACCGCCACCCACTTTATAGAGGCTGGGTGTCTCAAGGAGTGGGCCGATGAAACAAAATAAATAATTTATCTGCCATAAGCAGGGATTCAACCTGGAGTATTGGAAGCTCATCTAGTACTGAGCTACCCCACTCCCTAAATATAATACAAGGGTGTGGGGTGAATACAAAACAAGATCAAAATAAATTAAATTAAATTAAATAGAAGTCTTAGTAATCTGAGCTCCCTTCGATAATCTTAATTCTTTTCTATGATTCCCAAAAGATTCTTTCCAAATTATTATAACATTATAGTCATATTTTTTAATGTTGATAATGTATTTACATTAAACAACAGATCCAGAAAACGGACTTTGAGCTTCCTGATTTCACACATGTTCCACCAAACACCAGAATATCTATTAAACAAACCAAGCATTATGAAAACTAAAAAAGAGAAACTTTTAATTGGGTAATTTTTTATAATTAAATTAGAAAACCACACCTTCATGTATAAAATACTTCTCTACCTCCTTTCTCTACCTTTATTGTAGTATATATTATTTACTATTATTGAATGTATAAATCTCAGTATTTTTGAATTAGTTTATTATTACTATACATATACACACATATACATTATTGAATGTATAAATCTCAGTATTTTTGAATTAGTTTATTATTACATTATTAATTTTTTTTTTATTTTCTCTTAAGGCAGTCGTTGGTCATTTGGCCATCCGACATCTTGCTGCCCAGTATAATTTAGACCTTCTAATATATATATTTGAAAATATTTTTTCTCTTATGTCCCTCAAGGCAGGACATGCGTCTAGATGGTCTGCATCCATTGTTCTTTGATGACACAATTTACAGGTAGGATCCTCAGCCACGCCTATCTTGTAGAGATGACTCTGCAGATAGTCGTGAACAGTGGCCAGGCGGAAGCAGGCAACTGCATCTCTTCTCGGCAGCTCAGCTGGAATCGGATTATCCTTCAACCACTCATAACGTTTCCCTTCCACTTTGCCCAAATGCGCTTTTCTTATTTCTTCCTTCACTACCATCTTTACCATTCGCCGTATTGAGCTGAAGGTTTTGAATGTATCGGCTGAGGCAAATCTGTTCCTCGCTTGGCAAGAATATCAGCCTCAAGGTTTTCCGGAATCTCACAATGGCTGGTACATTATTAAATATACATAGCAGCTACACTGCAAAAGCCTGTAAGCACAATTTGATTAGAATGTGCGATTTTAACCTTTTCCGTTTAATTGTTGCCTCAGATATATTCATAAAAACAAACCAAAAACGTTATTTAGAACATTATATCTTTATCTTAAGTATACAATAAAAATTGAAAAAGAAATCTAATTTATATAGTAACAAATCCGCGGTTCATTTCGTCTTATAAGTATCTTTATATTTTTCGCTTACAGGCTTTTGCAGTGCGGCTGTCGATACATTATTATTATCATTGGCATTAGATCTTGCCATGTGGTTGGGTCAAATTTTTATTATAATTATTTATAAACTCAATAAACTAGTTTTTAAATCATTCCTGTATTCAATAGCATTAACATTAAACTATAAAAAAACAGTTTATATACTAAATTGACAAATTGATTACCTTGTACTGGGTTTCCGCTGGAGTGTTGGCTAAGAAAGGAGGCGAACCAACAAGCATTTCATACAATATGACACCAACGGACCACCAGTCGCACAGCTGCGTATACCCCGTTCGAAGGAGGACCTCTGGCGCAATATAATTTGGTGTACCGACTAAGGAATGTGCGAGGCAGCGCTGGTGCTGTTCTCGTTTCCTTCTCCTCTCCAACGGCTTCAGCTGGTGGCATCGGCACTCGGCTCCAACCCATTCCTCATTTGGCTCCATGGAGTCTTGCCTTCCATGTTCTCCTGACAAAATTTCAAATAAATTACTAAAATTTTAACCTGTTAAATGATTTATATTAATTATGATTCTTGATTAGATAATTTCTTATAATTAGGACTCTTAAACTAGTAATTTTAACAATTTATGAAATTATAAAATGTATCTTATCAGTATATCAGTATAATAGTGTCTACTAGAACAGGGTTTTAAAGAACAGCGGTTCTTAAAAAAAAGTTATATTAAATGAGTAATATGCAAAAATCGAGATTAGAATACAAATATAATTTATCTTAAATCAATTACTTAATTCTTATGCGTCCTTTCCTCAAGTAATAGACTTTTAAATTAAAGTTCAGTAAAACCTTTACTCGGAAAGTTGCAACAGGAAAAAAATTAATATCAAAAAGATTCTAGTCATATCGAATCTGACTAAAAATAAAAATTACAATTTCACTTCAAGCCCTGGTCAAGAGGAATAGTTATAAAACTTACAATCATATCGTCGGCATAATGTTAAAGTAAAGAAAGTGAGCCTGTTTAACGTTGCACATTCGTTACTTTAACATGATGCAGATGATATGTTTTTACAGATAAGATTACACCAGATAACATATAAACTGTTAATAAAGAAAGAAAGAAATCACTAAAATAAAATTTTTTAAAAAATGTTTGAATTTTTTTAGTCATCAGTAAAAAAGTCTGATTGTCCAAATGATGATAATTTTTAACATACTTATTAATACAAATTAAAAGAAAATATTTTTTTATTATGACTCATTTCTTATTAATACATATAAAGCCATAAATGCAATTTTTAAAATAAATAAGAAATTTTTATTTCAATATTTGTGGATATATGTATAATTTGAATATGTTTATGAAAAAGATTTTTTTTTTTTTACTTGTGTAAAAACTTTTTAAAATTTCAAATGTATATCAAATCAAAATTATTTCCAGTAATTTACATTGTTTTTAAATATTTATCCTTTTCTGCTCATATTGCTTTCACCGATTAAGAAAAATCTATCGTAATGAAGATATTGTTGATTGTAGATGATATTCAAGAAGAAACTGGTCGAGAGTTATGGACAAGAAATAATATACACGCTTGATAGTAAACTAACTTTTAATATGTGTCGATATTTCGATTTAAGTTCCAAGCTTTCATCAGAAGATGAGTCCATAACTCTAGATCAAGGTATGGGAAATAAATCTGGAATTCTGGACTTAGGCCAAAATGTCCACACACATTAAAAATAATTTAACATTTAATTTTGCTGTTTTCTTTCATGACAGCATCTCTTAATCAACTTCTTTTGAAAATTTCTTGTCATTAATTTTTATTTTACTTATGGAAAAGTTAATTTGATTTACAAAGAGATTTCTTTTATTAGTTTTACATGGAAATAAAATTTGTTTTACCAATCACGATTCACATTATATTGTCTTATAATAATTTTGGAAAAGAATTAGAATTTTTTAATTTAGAGGTATTAAATATATTTAGTAACTAATAGAAAAAATAAAAATACAATATCTTATCCATTATTAATCTTCATAGGCATAAAATAGTTTCCTTAGATAAAACTTATTATGGAATATTAGATATTAAGCACACGATAATTACCATTCCTTTGATAGTATTTCGAATTATGCGTCCATCTGAAGCCAGTACAGAGGCCAAAATCGGTAAGTTTGATATGACCATCTCGGTCTATAAGTATATTGTCAGGTTTTATATCACGATGGATAAAACCCATTTTGTGTACACTCTCGACAGCACACGTCAGCTCAGCAATATAAAACCTATAATAAAAATTAAGAGAGTAAATAAATTAGTAATTTAATGGTGTTTGTATTCTATATGAAATCTATTAATAAAATTATAACCTAAAAATATTTTTACTTAAGAGATACTATCGCATCATCTAAATAAAACAAATGAGCTAAAATAATTAATACAAATAAAAATTTTAATTACATACCTAGCGAGTGGTTCTTCGAAAATTCCTAGTCTAATCAGTAGAGACATAAGATCTCCTCCTGGTATATAATCCATGACGAAGTAAAGATTGTCTTTGTCCTGAAATTAAAAAAATATAATGCAATTACTCAATGATTACCTAAAATTATTAAAAATAATGGTATATTTGACAAATCATTTATAAAAACTATTTTTCAATAAAATTACATCTTAAAAAAAAAAAAAAAATAAGTAGGAAGAAAATCAAAGAACTTCTTCCTGACATGTTGTATTAATATTTAATGTAGTGTTGATTATTAACGCTATGATTATTAATGGTAATCGTTATTATTATTTTTTTTTGCAATAGCAAGGCAAAATATTAACATAGAATAGAATTTTGGAATACGAAACATATAAAATTTTGAAAAAAAAGAAAAGAATGGAATACCTGAAAGGAGTAGTAAAGCTTGACGACCCACTCATTGTCAGCCTCTGCGAGAATGTCCCTTTCAGCTTTGACGTGTGCGACTTGATTCCTTTTCAAAACATCAGCCTTGCGAAGAGTCTTCATCGCGTACAGGTGATTGGTATCGATTTTTCTAACAAGCGTAACTTCCCCGAAAGCCCCAACCCCGATGTGCTTTATCTTCACAAACATGGACTTGTCCATTTTGGCCCTCTTGAGTCTAATATAATTGGACTCTTTTTGTGACAGCATTTTCCTCATCTGAGCCTGGGCTTCTTCGCTTAATCCTATTTTAGACATTTCAGTTTCCAGTTGTATCCTTCTGAAAACCCTTTGCTTATGCGATTTTATTACATTTTCTACATGTTGCTCCATGAAGAATTTGAACGCCTGCGGAGAGTAATTACGAACTTTACAATCTCTCCTTTCTTCTTCTTTTTCTTTACTAATATGTTTCCTTTCAGGAATCGGTGACTGATGATCAATTTTGTAAGGCCGCCTGTCACCATTCTGATTTTGGTTCTGGTTTGCTTTCGTTACAGAAGATGATGCGGTGGGAGGAAGAGGAGGTGTTCTCTGTCCTCCATTGGATGCTGGACTTTCTGCTCGCTGCTCACCTCCTGGTGAGTATTTACGCTGTAAAAATATCAATAAGCATTAGCTGTAAGAACTTATTATATTAAATTAGTAATAAGATTAAAAAAAAAAATACATGAAAATAAGATATAGGTTGCTATCTTTAGCCTTCAATACACTATTCATTAATTTAAAACAGTAATAGTGTAAATATAGATAGCTTTAAAAAGGACATGCTTTACTATTTATTGAACTGTAGCAGAATCATTATAAGAAGAACTGACTGAAGATTTCTATATGAACTAATCAACATTAAGGTCTAAATAATTTATAAGAATAATTAACTAGAAAATTAAGAGAAAAAAAATTCTTAATATGAGTTTAAATGAATCAACAAATTTGACTATTTAATAGAAACTTATTAAAAAATTATTTAACAAACAGACCTGGAGAGGAAGATGAATCGTGGGAGAAGATTTAGGTGTCGTGCCGCTCTCAACAACTGTTGCTTCTTCCGAGTAAGGTTGGCCAACAATGCAGCGTTGAGCGGCGAGGGCTTGCATTGTGCTGGCGTAGCTAGGAGGTTCGGTTGTAGGCACTGGAGTCGGTGGCTTACCCTGCTTCTGTTGCATGGAAGAAGCATAAGAGGGGGGCGGTGGCGAGGTGGGAGCGATTGCTGTCTGTAGGACGGGTTTCTGCACCTGAGTGCTCTTCACCGACTGCATGATGATTGGAGGCTGGGTCTTCGTCTGCCTTGCACCCCACGAGTGGAGCGGCGTCGGCCTAGCCACAGAGGTAGGAGTTGTGCTACCTCCTACAGTCACAGGGCTCGGCGAGCCTGCGGAAGCAGGCCCAGAATAGATGCCCGAAGAAGGTGATTTACGATAGTCCTGCTGCGTGGGACTTTGTCGACTCTGAATGGATGCTGTATAGGATGGAGGAAGTGGATAAGGTGGCGGTGGCTCACTGTTAGGATAAAGAGCGAGGGCTTGCATCTGCTGAGAGAGCTGCTGCTGCACTTGTGGGTTATTCTGGACTACCATCGGCTGACGAGAGACAGGACTGGTACCTCGAGGTGCAGGAGACATTCGCTTCAACAGCTGGGGGTAGGCATGCGGCGGAGGAGGCGGAGGTGGAGTGCCACTAGAACGGGGAGGAGGCGGCGGCGGAGGTTGCTCAGGGAAGCCACTTGGAGAGTACTGCCTTGCAAGCTGAGGGTGGCCCATCAACTCAGCCAGCTGCCGAGGGCTGTCGGATCGAGAGCTGCCTGCGCCACTGTCCAGGGCAGGACTACCTCGGTGCAGCTCTCGCTCCAGGCTGGGTTTCCGCATAAGCTTTGTGCTGAGCATTGACATACCTGGAAAACGCAAAACAAACTAGTTCAGCATTTTATAATAAAAAAATATGCAGCAAATATCAATAATATCAGAAATAATGAATATATTATTTTAAATAAAAACTTGAAAGCTAAAAATCTTTATTGTCACCAAAAAAAATATATGTAAATAGTCATGTAGCAAAGAAAAAAAATAACAATAATAATTTTATAAAAAGTCTAGGGATTAAAAATTTTGATATTTACTTGTTAATTCTTTAGAAATTCAGTAACAGTTAACGGGTCACTATTCCCCATTTTCGTTTAATAGATATCCAAATTTTGTCATATTTTAAGTGGACTAGATCTATTGATTGTCAATAAAATGATATGTAAATAAATAATTTTATGTATGGCCACACAGGCATTTATTCTGTATCTGTAATTTGTCCTAAAGGGACAACAGTCCCAGGATAATAAAAAATATTTTCATATCATTTCATTTTCATTATTTTAATGTTATAATAACAAGAAGATATTTTAAATAATTTTTGCATATCTGCTAACAAGAAAAACTAAGGAACTAAAGCTGGAGAACATTTCCCTGAAATGTTGACTGTTATTTTTATCTGAACATTTAAAAACTGTTTTAAGAAGAAAATGTGGAAGTTTTATTAATGCCTAGACTTCACATATATAAGCTTATAACTTTCCAAAAAATTTATAAAAAAAACACATAATAATTAACATAATTAAAAACATATTAATAATAAAAACATATCAAGAATTAACAACTAATAATTGTTAATAACAACTATCTGTATCGAACAGTCATGCCAGAGCTATTAAAATTTATAAATTAATTAATTTATAAAATTTGCTTGTTCCTCTTGGAGTATATTAAATATCAATTAATATGTTTCAACAAACAGGTGGCCACAAGTATTGCGTCACTTGTAAAATTTTCAATTATTTGTAAAATAATACCATGATCCAATTCTTGAAACACATCTATTTATATAGTTATTAAAGTTAGATATGATGAACTGTTTACTAACGTAAACAAGAATTAATAAGTTTTTTTTTCTAGACATGTTTTTTATATTTGGTGCCATTTTATTATTTAATTGTTTGTAGGTCACAGATCACCAATAAAATAAATACGTTTTTATATTTCTTTTATTGTCGAAAATTCAGTTTCTTGAGCAATTTTCAAGTATCTTTAAAAATATTTCACCAATCAATGAAAAGTGATTGGTTTTAGTAATAATTCAACAGAATCCATATTCTGTACACCATTAATTTTGAATTGAGTACTTAAATTTTTCAAACCTCTTATCTTATATTTTTTTAGGGGAAGGGAGGGGTGAGATTGTTTAACGGAAGACAATTTATTTTACATTTATTTTGTGAAATTAATAATAATATTAAAAAATTAATAATTACAACAATAATAAAATACATTGCTTACCAGCATTAGATGATTTGGCTACTCCGTTGACGACGGTTTCGACTGGAATATGCTGCTTGGCCAGCAAGTCCAAGGCGGCTTCGAACCTCCCGTTCGCCATTTTAAGAGCTCTAAGTGCCACATCCTGCAACAATACAATCCTCAAATAAGCCTTCTCGATTTGATAATAGTTTGATCTAATTATATACAACAAATGAAGACTATATCAAGAAATATGTTTAATCAATTGATTATATTATTTTTTTAATTTTCTAAATAAAATAATGAATCTATAATTATCTATTAAATCCTAATAGGTTTGATAATTAATATTATAATGTAGGTTAACTGTTATCAGGATAGAAAAATACAATTTCGTTATTTTTCTATTTTTTTTTTTGTTACGAAATGATGATATCAATCATTTGAATTAAAAATATATTTCTAAAATGGATGATTTAAAATTAATAGTATACATTTTTATAGTGATTTGGCGAATTCCTGAACTCAGCGCTGAGCTCATCGATGGCATGAGAAATCTATCACATCGTTACTAATAAACTCATTGATGAAATTCAGCACGCTTTTCTTTATTCAATGATTGAATCATTTTTTTTTTTTTTTTTTTTTTGGTCACCCCTTCCTTGCCCTTTATTAGGCTACACGGTTTTTTTTTTTTTTTTTGCCGGGTCAGGGGAATTATACCGAGTTAAATGTAGCACCGAGCAACGGGATTTGAACTCGTAATTATCTGTTTATGTCAAATCTTGATTATCACGTTTCAGAGCAACATATGGTGTTGTGCACACACGCTTTACTGTCAATAATGCAGTAGGTAGGTACTTCATTCTGTATATATTTTTTAAGTTCAAATGTTTAGCAATTTATGTGATTACATTGCGGCGAATAAAATAGGCGTGTAAAATTGTTGGGCTTTAACACTGCCTTTCATTATTATTAGGTTTTACTACCATACGCTGGAATCCATCAGGCCGTTCCTAAATCCAGCATATATCACTGTCCACCGCTACTGGAGACAACCGATTGATGAAATCCACCGATAGAATTAGCGCTGAGTTTAGGACTTTTGCCGGTACTAACAGACTTTTTTAAAACTAAACTGTTTGAACTACGAAGATTTAAGGAAGATCTACGGGTAGGGGAGGGGAGGGGGATGAGAGCTGAAGCTCTCACTCTCCCAAATGGTAAAATATAACCGTCTTATGAAAAAAATAATCTCTATAAGTATTATTGTTCGTGTAATTACATTTAATAGAACTCAAAGAATCACTTAAACACCATTTCATACAGATAGTTAAAATCTTTCTTCTTCTTTAATACATAGCACTAGCGGATCCAGGATTTAATTTTGGGGGAGCTTCAGCCTCAAAGATTTTTTTTCATATACATATAACAATCATTAATTAGAAAAAAAAAAAAAAAAAAGAAATTAACTACCTATATGAAATGGTGTTTGAGTGGTTCTTGAAGTTCTATTAAATGTAATTAAACGAATAAGAATACTTTAAAAGATAGTTTTTAATATTTTTTTCTGTGAAACATGGTTATATTTTACCATTTTGGGAGGGGGAGAGGGAGAGGGCTTCAGCCCGAAAGAACCCCCCCCCCATCCCCGTAGATCCGCCTGTGATACATAGTAATAGTCGTTATATATAGCTTAAGGGCTGAAGCTTTTCTGGATTTTTAACCAAAATTAAATCAAGGATTCACTAGTGATTTAAGGACTATATTTTTCATTGCTTCTTGTATTCCTCCAAGTGCATATTTATCTATGAACCCATGCCTGGTTGGTCGCAATAATAAAATTAAAATAAAGATTTATTTAAACACTTTAAATAATAATCGCCAAGAACCATAGATAACATAATAGAATTCGGATTAATGTCGTTTTCTTTTCAATCAAAACTTAATTAATTTTTTTTACTAATACTCACAAAAGACGAAATTTCAGGGCTACATATTAAAAAAAAAGAAAGAAACATTTTAAGGAAAATCTTTGATATTAAAATCTGTAATCTTGCCTTTGCATTTGATGGTCATGTTATTAAGAGCTTTCCCAATGTTAGGACGGGAAACTATCTTAAGCCCCAACTGTTTATAGTTCCGGAAAAACAGGTCACCGCTGTGATGCCCTACTTGCGTAGAATACGCTGATAGGCTTTTAGAAATGAGCAGAAGAAATATTTCAACATTTTATAAACAAATAATAATAAATAAAATTTTAAAAAATATGATCAAATGAGTAATATGTTTGAAATATGTGATGTATTTGTTTTCACTCTAAATAAAATTATTTGAAATACTCAAACTCAATGCTTACTTACAATGGAATTTTGAAAATAAATTGCATAGTAAAAATATCTATTATTATTATAACTATAATAAAGCCATTTCTAGTATATGGCTACGAGATAAAATTTTTATTGGAAAATTTGTATTGAATCATCCCCCAGAATTTCCTGAGATGATTCAGAAATGATCCTCCTTCATCGACATTACTATCCGCCTTTTCCTTTCAACATGGCGACTGAAAAACCTGCGTTGCTATAGACTGTAGCGCCTAAACGAATGTACCGATTCCGATGAAACTTCGCTGAAGTCTTATTCTCGATGCCCTTTAAATTTATCTATATAACATACTTCAACGAAAAGGAACTGGAAAACGTTACGAGGGATAGTAAAATTTAGATTCCTAATAACTCAAAAAGTATACACTATTTTGTCGATATTATATATCGTTATTTAAAAGTTTACGGATTATCCTAAAAAAAGAACAAACAAAAAAAACCAAACATTAAAATCGGACAATTTGAAGCAAAGATATGGTCTCTATATGTTTTTTGTATGTTACACTGCAAAGGTTATATCCTTTGTTTTGGTTTTTGCTTTTTGAATGTGTTACTGAAATAATGCTAATTGTTTTAGCATATTACAAATTATTAAAAATTAGAACACTAACCAGGACCCTAGAAGGAAGTTTCGGATGGCTTGAATGAAAAATCGTCCATACGATAGCTATCTGAGTGATCTAGGATAAGGATGGAATATAGAAAACTCAATAAAGATTTTTTCATCGATATTAATATAGGGCTATAACTATCGATCCTTGAATATCAACAATCGATATTTTCATCGATATTGTAAACATTTTTTTAAATATGAATATGAATATAAATATTGATTATCTAGCAAATAGGCGCATAAAAAAATGTTATTTTTCACTTTAAATTGATTAATGTAAATATTAATTCTGCTTCTCTCCCAAGTAAAATTAATTTTCTAGTTCCAGCCCATTTTTGTTATCCTCAGGTTTTTATCACTCGTGGATTATCAGATTCAGCGAAATGATAATTTATTTCCACTCTACATAGATTACTTTGACAATTCGTGGCCTTGGTTTGAGAAGGTTCTAACAAATTTGGGCAGATTGAGTTTACTGAGCGAGAAGGGTTCCAAGCGTGCTATTCAACCCTACTTAGGGATGGCCATCGATAATCGATATTATCGAAATATCGATATTTTTCTCTACTACGCACTATATTCTAGATGAAACTGGTAAGATGAGTAAATTTTTTTTGACGATCCGATTCATATATAGTTTCTAGCGCTTTCCGAAAACGATAGTTTTAATTTTAATTTTCAAATTAAAATGTCGAAGGGACGATATCGATAGTGGATATTTTTAGATTACTTGTTTATTGATAAATATTACAATCTTTCTCAATAAAGGACAATTATAATAAAGTTCAGAGAGCACATTCACACCATATTTACAAAATCTAAAAATAAATAAGGTAATTTCAAAATGATATACATAAGAACAAAATAAAATGTAATAGTCGTTATTAAAGAAGTAGACACTATCGATGTTAAAATATCGAATGTCAGAAGGGAAATATTGATATTTCGATAATATCGGCTATCTATGGTCATCCCTAATCTAGGATCATAGTATTAACGCATGGAGGAAAAGGATCAATATAAAGAACTCCTTCCAGAAAATAGTCAACCAATCTCTCATGATTTGAAGGCAAGGAGGTTAAGATGGTCGGGGCATGTAGCTCGGAGTGATCAGAAAGCCTCTGAACAACAATTAATGAGGAATAGGTCGAATCAACTAAGATACAATAGAGCTGCAAGCAGATAACTGGAAAGCAATATCCCAAGAGAGGCAGAGATGGTGAAGGCTGGTTAAGGCGGCGAACGATCTAAATTAATTAATAAGGACAAAAAAAAATATTATGTTTTTTTAATTTGTTCGTTAGAGTGAGACTGGTTACGGGATGATGCAGCACCGAAAACTTACACGTGAAAAGATAAAATAAAAATAAAGAGTTTAATGAAAGGTATCCTAATTTGACTTAAATACAATTACCAATAATTAATCGTTTTAAACAAAGATAAAAACTCTTCTTTGAAATATTTTTGGTTTTTATTTAGAAAATTGATCTAGGTACCAGTAATTGTATGAAAAGAGCCTAAGAAGGTTAGAATGCGGTAGTGTTTACACCGAGCCGTGGATGTTTTGAGCCAGAAGGAATGCACTGACGATCAAGGATCGTCTTGGGAACTGACTCAGTTCGGATGCCATCGTATGACTTGCCATTTTATTAAACCGAAGCTATTAACTATAATAAAAAAAAAACTTTATTTATAAAGCAATTATATAAAAAAACAACAAACAATAACATATACAATGGGACATACAGATATATATATATATATATATATATATATATATATATATATATATATATATATTTATAAAATGTTCACTGCACTTGCCACCCCTACCTTCAGTAGAAAATAATTTTAAATAAATTAATGAACTTTAAAAATATTATTAATTCTGGGTAAATGGTTGACTGTCGTGAATAATGAAGAGAAGAATAGTTGGGGTGATCAGTCAAATAAATAAGAAGACAAAAATAAATGATAATATTTATTTTTGCCTTCTTATTTGATAATTTAAAAATATTACATTATAAATTTATATTAAAAACTATTATCTCGTGCAATTTTGGTTTATTATTTTCAATTATGAACCAATGTCATCGAACAAAATATTCAAAAATTTAACCCTCTCTCAAAATTTGAGGTTTTACGTTTCAGAATACGTAGAATTC